TTTCTTCCGCGTTGAAGGCTGAATATCATAAAAGCAGCCCCTGATGGCTGTTTTTGGATCCTCGACATCTGTTACCCGTAATTGGGAAATCTTCTCCTTCACAATGCCCCAACGTGAATCATCGCATGTTGTCGAGTCAGGGCTTCGATCGGACGAGGGTCTGATATGGCATGGCCACCTCGAAGCCCAAACTTGACAACAGGCGATAATTCACTTTGGGGCATTGTGAAGGAGATTTCCCAACTGCGGCTAACAAATGTCGAGGACCCAAAAACAGCCATCAGGGGCTGCTTTTATGATATTCAGCCTTCAACGCGGAAAACAAATGTCTACGAGAACATGGACACGGATGAAACAATGTGCTGAGAACGGAGGGTAACATACAGATGTGCTGTAATTTCACTGCAAAGGGACTTTCTGCCCACCCTGTATGTTGCCCTTTACATGCTTCAAGCCGTGTTGCAAGCAGAATGCAGAAGACCATCGCATACAGGTGTACGATGACTCCCCATTTTGATTGAGATTTACGGCTTCCACATCGTCCCCGAGCGTGAGGGTTACCCCAAGGTCATTACGACTGTGGATCGGAACGCGCGAATTCCCCTCACCGGCACGGGAGGGGATTCCACGGCCAGGATTCCATCACCCGTCTCCTCGTGTCGAAGACGAGGCGAAATCGGCGGTCGAGACGACGAGATCTGTGATCCGTGCGTCGCGAAATGGTTCGCAAGCGTACGATGAGGCGCAGAGAGGGAAATCATGCGACCCCTATTACTTGAATGCAGACACCGGCCCGACACCAGAGATCGGTCTCGACAGGGCACTCCACGTGCTTGCTAACGTACATCTGGCGTCCTAGTTCCTTAGAAATAAGAGAAACCTCGTCGTGAGGATCGTGAGACGGGGACGACTTTCCGCCACGAAGAGAAACGACTCGGTCGAAGCCGTTTTAACGACGCGCCGAATGAAGGTAAATAAACTATTCTATCCTTTGAACCAGAAGTTGCACGATCTATCTGGAGAAAACCACCCAGACGTAGCCAGAGGGCCTGACCTACCCCCAACCTCCTCCACCCGAAAACAGGATTGGATGGAGAAATGAAAATACCGGGAAAGAATAGAATGGACATGAACGACCTTGACTGTTCCCAGCCCCAGCCCCAGCCCCAGCCCCAGCCCCCTCCCCCCAATGAAGGTGCTTCGCAAGATGACCCTATTTACAGTCTCCTCTCCCTCTTCTCGTTTCATACAAGGCTCTGTGAGAATAAGTTTAACCAAAATAATCTCATTCTCACGATGAAGGGTGACTCCAGATTCCTTTCAATTATGGTTTCATAACGGGTGGCTATGGGAATAAGATCCCCTCCGTCGAACCGATCTGAGATTAGTTTAACCGATCTGGTGCGTGTCACCCGAGATCGTACCAGTTTAGAGATCCGATGCATGCCGATCCGTGTCTGTTATGAAGTGTTCGTTTACTTGTGGGAACGTGAAAATGTATTTGTGTTTTGAAACGAACGCAGGAGTCGAGAGAATGCCTGCACCTACATCATAGAATATCGTTTACTTTCCAAGCTATACTCAGAAATGCTGTACAATAACTGGGGCAGGTAAATATTAATTGCTAAAAAAAAATTCTTCGAAAGGAAGGAAATTCACAATTTAAAATGAAACAAGGCAAGCCTGTACGAGGAAGGCAGTTCAGGGGCAGATCATGTCCACGTTTCAACGGGTTCAAGGAGCCTCTCCGAATTTCCAGAGCATATGCACTTCGCTATCGAATCCCGCATCTCTGTTTCTGTTGTCCAGCAGTGATCCCTCCCTGGATCATTGCCATCACTGCGATGGATGGGAGACGCGCCAGCGTCATTCATCGTGCAACCCTTTTCGTTGTCCCTTCCCATCTTCGCAGAATGACGGTCGGCCGGAACGATTTCTGGCACCGGTTTCCTGCTACGCGGTCCGCCGATGCGCTCACGAACGGAGACGAGAAAAACAGAGAAAACGAGACCGCCGCTCTTACGTCGGCAGTCCGTGTTTCTCATGGCCTCACCTGTGGCGTCGGAGGGAAGAAACGGGCCCGAAGACACCTGAGGTTGCATCATCGCTCCCGCAAAAGCGGGACGCACGTCACGAAACGGGTGCTAGGCCTCGTGGGCACGATGCAGGCGACCGAATCGATTCCACACCCAGCGTACGCACACGGCAGATCGGACACGAGCGTCTCGGCGCGAAGGAATCGGCGACCGTGATTCGCATTCGACGGGAGGAACTCGACCAGACGGACGAAGGCGAAAGGCGCAAACGGAGGGAGCTCCACGCGAGCCCCCGGGGCACGAGGTAGGGAAATGAATGCTGCCCATGCCACATTGCACCATCCTCACTCTCACTCACGCACTCCCTCGCCGTCTCGGTCGAGCCATTCCCGCCTCTCCACCCCGTTCGCGTCCGACCGAGCTCTTCCCATTTCTCTCGTCGGGCGTGGGATCCACCTCCGAGCGCGGAAAAACCGTCTTCGCGGTTTCCACTCGGGCCGGACCCGACCCGACTCGCGTCGATCGAGACGGAATCGAGCGGCCGAAGGCGAAGAGAAGCGGAAATCCTCGTTCTTCTCCGTTCGGGAATGGGGAAGTCATCGTCTTTCTTTCGTCCTTCTCACCTTCATTTGCCATCACGATTCGCTCCTGCCGTAAAGGACGAGAGTTCGGCCGCAGTGGCAACCTCGAGTATGGTTTCCGCACTCTTACATCTTTCCACCTGCCTCGAGATTAGCACGGATCGTCGAGCGTTAAAAAAATCCGAACCACCACGATGACAGGAAGTGGAAGAGCACCGAGGAATTTGGTGACATCCATCGTGCAGATGAAGCTTGCCACATCCAAAATCGTCGAGGTTCACCCTCACAAATTTACCTCACAAAAATTCCCACTCAGTTTGCAGTTTCTTTTTCATCCGCGGGTATTTACGTTTACAGTATATGAGTCTTTCGCAATCGCAATCGCATGGGAGGAAACTAAAATGGTTCACATACGCATGGAGAGGTCCTTTACAAACATTTCAGTTCCTGCAATAGTTCTTATCACGAGTTCGTGAAATTATTTTGCATGCAAGAAGAGAGCTTGCACGAACTTATCAGTTCGAGTCGGTCGACGTGGGATTGCCATTTTGCTATTGCGAAGGACGGATCTTCTTTCCTCTGCTCGACCCGGTCGGATGCTCATATATATCTCGGAAACCATGTGGAGCTTCGTCGTTTGGCGTAGGGGTGGGTCTCGAACCGTGACAGGGCACGTGTGGAAAGTCGAACGATGGAATTTGGCATGGACGTAGCTCTAAGGCCGAAAATGGGCAAGTAGGAGTTTCGCTCGAAAACCCTCGATCGTAAAGCGACGAGAAACGTTGGAATGCGAAGCTGCGTGGGAGAGGCTTGCGACGCCCGCGTCTTTTCGTCGCTTCGCATCTCTCATACGACGTGGGGACCGTGCTCGACCTCGCGCCGAGAGTAGAAACTCCCCACGTTGAAAAGCCTGTGTTCCATCTCCTTTCACTTGGACGAGTGCATATATGCTTTCCTCGCAAGGCTGTAATTTGTTTCTCCTCGGACCACCGAGCGTGGGACGATCTAATTTGACTCGTGACTCGTTTTCCGACTGGACGCATTCGATAGCCGTGCGGATATGGAACTCGCGTTTCGCAACCGATCGTACTCGGAGGCAGCTTAACTCGACTCGTCGCACTGGCGATATCGTGCACGAGAGCATCTCCCAGGTCCGCAACTGTTCCCCGGTCGACTCATCAGATCGACTGTGCACAATGACAGTTCGTATCCGTTTAGGGTTGCCACCCGTTCATAATTAGTGTGGTCAAAACATATTTCAGATGCACTGTCCATCTTCCAAATTGGCCCTAATATGAACACTGTTTTCTCCATATGTTAAACGTGTTACGATATTTTCACTCAATAAAGCTTACTAGCAGTTAATATCGTTATTTTCCGCAAGTCGAAAGCAGTAGGCCACACTCAGTAACGATTGGCGCCTTGACTTAAGGTGGCTGTGGGTATATTTAGAATATTTGTTCATATTTTGTTAGATTCAAAGTTGGCAATCCTATATCCGTTCGATTGAGTCCACTGTGTGCCCCCCCCCCCCCTCGTACCAGAGGGTATTGGCATGCGATGCTCAGTAGATGGACTGGCCACTGGGGGGCACTAGCATCGGGCGATAGCATGGTTCCCTCCCCGAGTGGCTCTTCACGCCGACAAATCGTCTGGCAGAGCAGCGTGAAGCCAAGAGAACATCGGCTTCAATTTACATGTGGGAACACTATCTACAACATTCGGATCGACTCTCAAAATTGGATATGTGCTCCATACTCTTCTATAAGCCGTACAGTCGAGCAGAAGTAGTAGTTCCCACTCTGAAGTTGGAATGTTTTTCCATGAGTTCACACCCCCCCCCCCCGCAATTAGTGAGCATTGGTATCACTAGGTGCGCAATCGAGTACTGCAGATAAGAGCGTCAGGAATGCCGATTGTTGAGATAATCGGAAACCGTACACATTTCGGATTGAATTTGTAACCCTTCCATTGGAGCGCTTTCATTGATCGTGGGCAATGGCATCTTGCAGATGGTTGGTTACGTGGATAATCTGAGGAAGCGGATCCTTTTGAAGTAGTCCTTTCTTCATTTCACGCTTTCGCGTATTCAAACTAAAACAGTGTACCAGCTGGTAGCTGCTTTGACTCTGTAAGATGGCACCGCTTGCTAGGTTAGTCATATATATACCTACTAACAGTAACGAACACTAAAATCTCATGAGAATGTTAACCTACCCATGCCTAAGTGGACAGGTCGAGAGTGTTGTGATAAGGAGAAAGGAGATATGGGATCACACGGTAAACACTCTAAATACTCGTTGACCCTTATAAACCTAGGCCTAATAAACTCATGAGGGGTTCACATAATGTAATGTATTCATCAGTTTCTGGCTATACCTTTTGTGCAGGTTCAGTATTTCAGTGGGAGAAGATAGAGCCCACAGTGCAATATGGATGTATCATTACAACCACATCATCTGTTCTTTGATGAACTGGTGAAGGAAGTTCCAGATTCAGAATTTGGATTTGTCCATAGGAAGTCATGCTTCCAAACATTTGACCTAGATGGGTGAGTCTTGATAGGTAGGGCTAGATATTGGCCAAGAAGGCTAGTTTTTTTCATTTGTATGAATCATAAGATTTCCATGTGCATGCTCTCTGCAAATAGCATTTCATAATGACATATCTCTTAATCTTGCAAAACCTTTATTTTTTTCATTCCAATAGGGACAATCTGTTGAGTGCTGCAGAATTCTTAGAACTCTGCCGTGCTTTATTTCGAACTGCAAATTCTGAGTTCTATGGCCTTGATGCTCTTCAGCTTGTTGAAATTTTCACCCTCTTCGATACCAACAAGGTTAGACTTCTCATTGAAGCTCATTAGTAATATTTTTGTACTAGATTCCAGCTCTGGCATATTGTGAGAGTAATGTCAGCTTAGTTGAATTATTTTCACGTTTGGTCTTTTACCAGTATTCTACTAGTAGACCCATCATTTGTTTGACAAGTGAAGATGTAATGATACTCATGGCCCCTGTGGAGACTGTTAGGTCTTCATAAGAACAATTGGACCAGAAACAAATATTTATGTATTCTTTTAAATATTTTATAACATGCCAGAAGCTTGTCAGGCTACAGTTAGTTGTTAGGCAGTAGTTAGCTGTTAGTTGTTTCTAACCTACATGTGATTGTTATGGAGAAGGATGCAGATGCCTTCCACATTATCCACTGATGTATCTGTTTGGCTCATTACCTTGATGTAAACGTAAATATTGCACTTGAGGTAAACTCCTGTTAAGGTATAGACAGTAAATATTATTATAAAGTGTTGCCCTCTTGAATTCCATTGAATATTAACTCTTCACTTTGTCTCAATGAAAAGGGAACCACTTGATTCAAATGCAATAATTATTCAAAGTTGAAGTATTGGCAATTGCAGTGAACAATCAATCTGCACACTCCTCCTCACAAGGTGCATCTCTTTGATGTGCTACAGGCAGCAGGCAGTCTCAGTGTGAAAACAGGTTTTTGATACTTTTTTCCCTTTTTTTCAGTTATTTTTATATTGAGGTTGCAGTTTTGTGCTTGATTATCATAATTTTCTGCAGGCCTGGAGCCTGATTCTCTATTCTTGTAGTTTTTTTCATGTCATGAATCACAGTATTCATGACAAAGAGCATTATGAAATTTAATGAATGGGAGAAGCACCTAATCAAAGGCTTGTGAGAGATTAAGGGGTGCAGCTCTTGTTGGTTCATGGAGGAATTCCTAGAAAAAAATTCGTTGTCATGTCATGTCTTGATAATTTGTTGAAAAAAATGGCTGTAACTTGATCAACTGACTGAAGACGTGGAAGTGGCAATTCCACATACAACATTAACTGTGAAAACATCAAGGCTGAGAAATAATTGACCCCCAGTCAAGAAGGGGGACCTCAAACTCATTGAACTATACAAACTATGAACATGATAAAAGGAATTGATCCAAACGAATTTCATCACTTTGATTGCCTGCTGCCAGTACTGTCTTGTAGGATAGCACCAAAGTGATGTTCCTGGCAAGAAGCAGCATGTGGATTGCTTGTTCACTATGCTTATTTATACTTCTGCTTAAGAAAAGTTTTTGCATTTGATGCACTGATTGAAATTATTCTACATTTTGATTTGCCTGTAATGTCATGTGCAGCAAAGCATGAGCTTTGCACAGTATCAGGTGGAGATAATACAAAAATTACTATGAGGATCAATGCAAAAGTAATGCCTCTTAAATATTTTCTCTGGACTCATGCATGGAAGACTGCCAAAAAATATCCTGCTTGAAGATTTATATTTCCTGTCCTTGCTGCGTAAGTTTCATGGAGAGGCATCTGTGGAAAGCGTTACTGCACCTGTTCAAAGTGTTTGCTGCCCTTGATGCACGTACAAAGCAGGGAGCTGTTATTGAATTACCTACTGCAGAGGGAGTTCAGCTTGCAAACATTCATAGATGACTGGAAGATGTTAATGGGACCTCTACCATTGATGTGAGCATGGTGAGGGGGTGGGCAGAGTCAAGAGTGGAGAAACCGACTTCAAAAACATGTGTCAAACAGCGGTCACCTTGCCTCGGTAGTACCATCAGAGAAGATTCTCAGACAGGGTGAGCTGATTCGAAACGATTGGCACATCACCTCACGAGAGTTGTGCGAATCTATATGAATCGGAAGTCTTGCAATCATTAAGATCATCCACAACCCCAGCTGCTCTAACTTGTGTGCTCTGTGGGTGCCTTGAATGCTGATGGGCATTCACAAACAAAACTGAAAAACCACATGTGCTGAACTGCTTGAGCGTTTCAAAGCCAAAGGTGAGGCATTTCTCTTGCGCATCATATCTGGTGATGAGACATGGAAACATCATCATGACCCAACCTACAGCCCAGATTTTGCACCATCTGACTATCATCTGTTTTACTCTTGTAATGCTGGTTTATCAGATAGAACTTTTAAGAAGACAAGGAATGAAAATAAACTTTTGCAGAGATGGCATGCATGCCCTTCTTGAGCGCTAGAAAGAGTCAGTTGAACGCATTGGGGGCTACATGGAAAAATAGCGGTGAATACAAAAGGGCTTGGTCTATTTTCCAGCCAAATTTCATTATTTTTGCATTAAAGGTTATGGAGAAAAAAATGAAGAGGCATTACTTTCGTACCAACCCTCATATTTTGCACATTGTTTATTCAGTCATGCTAAATTCCAACTGTCTTATCGCTGAATGCAATGAGGGAATCTTGCTGGAATCTGTTATTGCACAAGAATATTAATTCTTATATTATTTCTTGGCACTCCTTTAGGATGGCTACATTGATTCACAAGAATTTGTTTCATGTTGGGAGAAATGGATTCGTGTAATTTGCTACCCACGGTGTGTACTTCTGGTTGTGGATGTGCAGAATGATTTCATATCTGGAACATTGGCCCTTCACCGTTGTCCTGCTGGTCATAGAGGGGAAGAGGTGAGTGTTGGTGTCATTCTATAATTTGTCTTTTTTTATTTTAAATTTTTTTTTACAAATATGTTTTAGACAGACAAATAAATTTAGTCCGGGAAAACTAAGAAAATAAGTTTTGCCTAAGTGTCATGAGTCTCATACTAGTACTATATTGCTAATCCCTTTAAGAATATGTATTCTGAAGAGCTGTTGGTTTGATTTAGTTAATAATAGTGACACTTTTAGGTCTTTTCACTGTGTGGCAAGGGATGCAATTAATGGGTATGATTTCAGAGACTTGATAATAGGGCAATTCCCTTGTGTAGTGAACACAAAAGAAAATTATTTGAAGTTCATGGTTAGGTTAGTCAAAGTATGTTTTGATTTTATAATTACTGTTTTAAAAGTTGAGAGTGAGTGAGTTTAAGTAACTTCTGGATCTTTGAATTACCTAATATTTTAGCTAAATATTTTTTCCCAATACCATTATTGATAAGGAAAGTGTTAAAAAAAAATTGGACTGGAATTATATCTATATACTGGGCATATACTGAATTACATACTTGATAGGAATTTTACATTATAATGAATTTCATATTATGTAGTAATTTTATATGATTCAGTGCAGCTTCCTGGGACACTGCATTATTAATGGCATGCTTTGCAATGATCATATCACCAGATTTAGAGAGAACACTATGGGGGCAATTAAGATTGAATGAAGTAGCACTTAAATGTCCTTTCTGGTTTGGTTTAGAATATTTAGGTTCACAGACTATGACCTACTAGCCTGCTTGTTTTTTTTATTATTATATATTTTTAAAATATATTAACACCTTAACCATCAAGCTGCATGCCAGGAAGTGTTTTCTCTATATACCACTGGGTATTTTTTTCTGCCACATGTGTTTGTTAGTCTAAATATAAGAAGTCTCCATGCACCTTTTGGTGTCCACTCAGAATTTTTCAGGCTATGTTAATGGAAGGACAAAGGCAATGAGTGCAGTACTAGAGCAGAAATTTTAATGCCAAAAGATGGGTTAATACCACCATGCCTTGTGGTGTTTGGGATTCCACTATTGTTTTTGAGTTCCTATAATATATATCATAATTGTGTTGAGCTTTGGCCTTTGATTTGGGCTTTTGACTTGAACTGTTATGTTGTATTGAAGACCTAATTTCCATTGGGACTTTTCTGGAGCTTTCTTGAGTGGGGTCAAGTGATGGAGTGTACATTTAAAGAAGTATCTGCATATCATTAATTAATCAGTTTTTTCATAGGATGGAGTCCCATGGAAACAATGTTAACTCAGGTGTACTATTACAGATATCTACCAGGGAGTAAGTTCATGTTGAATCAGTGTCATCAAAAAGTATGATAGGACTGGGACTAAAGTCTCAAAAGAACTATTGATTTGTTTGTGATTTAATGATGAAATGAATGTTCCAGAGTTGTGCAATCCTGTTTTTTTCATGTGGGGAATTCCATTTCTGTATTATTCATTATCTTAGTCAAGAAAATTTCCTCCTGTTGCAGTTATAATAGGGAGGTTTTCTTTTCAGTCATATTTTCATCACTTCCTTTCTATTTACAGGTTGTACCAGCAATCAACAAATTGGTAGAGACAATTCCATTTCACCTGGTGGTATATTCCCTTGACTGGCATCCACAGAACCATGTGTCCTTCATTGATAATGTCCAACTTCGTGACATTCATCCCACTTCCAAGGTTAGTGTATCTTTGACTCCCTGTCATTCATGTGTAAAATGTCATATTTTAGAACAAGAAATAGGTTGATGGACCTGGAACTGATTGTGTCATGTGTAAATTCTGTAAGGGCTATCAGGTAGTTCGTGCTCCTGTTGTATGCTATATGAAGGTTGTTGCCCATTTTTTTGGTAGTGAGGCAAATGTACCTATGCCTTGGCTATGTGGCACAGTGCAATTACATAGTGATAGCACATGGCTTGGCATCCATTACTAAGATGTTTTCCTGTATCCGATTGCAGATAATTTGTGATTACTCTTACTATTTTTGTCACTTTTTACTTGATGCCATAATACATGGAAATAAGAAATGTAAGCAATAGTGCTGTTACTGATGACTAAACTTAGCAATTTCCTTTTATACCCTCAGGGCAAAGATGGAAATGGCAAAATCTTCTCAGGTTTTGAGAAGCCTGCTCTTAGAGGGAAGAGAGAGTCATGGGATGTATCTAATTTTGAGAGGTACAGTGAATGTTGGGCAGGGTGATGATCCTATTGTCACTTGTGAAACAGCATGCATGGGATAGATTGGAAGGTGTCATCCAAAGTATCATAACTGCATCTAATTTCAATTAACTATTCCTTGAAGAGGAAGATATCTCTGGCAATCCAACTTATAAATATTTTATTATCTTAATTTTGGTGCAATTCATGTTGTGTTAATTTTCACACTAGTGCTCCAGGGCCTGAATATAAAAAAAAATTACTATTCGATCTCTCTCCAATCAAATAAATCATCACCACCATACAGGGTGTGCCATTGGAAGTCTGTGTACAAATTGAAATTGTCTCTTTGGGCTTGGAGAAAAGCCTTTGAAGCTTGAGTTGCCAGTAGGGTAATGGAGGAAGTTTTTTCATCTATGAGAAATAACCTATCTCTTTCTTATTAGACTTCCATATGTTGTTCATTTTTTGAATTTCTAGAATTTTGAAGTAGTTTATCAAAGATCTTTTTCAATATATGAGTGTGAATGAGTAATTTATCTAGGACCACCATTTCCATCTGTGCAGCTTCCATGTTTTAAAATATAGCAGTGACATATTAGGGGCCCCTTTAGTAATCAATCTTGCATATTCTTTGACATTTTCATGCCTATACTGTCAGGATAATAATGAGAAGTCACATTTTAAGAGTGTCTCGCAAAGAATGAGTAAAAAAATTCTATATGCCTAATCCCAAACTGTTCTTGTATGTGTGCAGGTGTGTGGAGAAGCTGCCAAGGAGTATGATACTGTGGTGTTTTCTGGGCCACCACCAATGGAGCAGAAACTCTGGCCCCGGCATTGCGTTCAAGGCTCCTTGGGATCACAGCTTCACCCTGATCTCAAGGTATGCCATCCACTGCCTCATTCATGAATCTTTATTTCAGAAGTCATAATTTAGATTTCAGGTGGAGTGACTTGTCTGATGCCTTCAATCCCTTCATTACACAAGTAGGTAGAGGATATACATAGATGCAGAATGCAGGAGGCCTAAGGTAAAAGCTTGCAACATGTTCCAGTTGTGCCCAGCACATCTCTTAATTTTGGAAACTCACTAGCAAAGATTTGAGCCCTGAGCATACCTTGAAAATGTTGAATAGACCATCAGGAAGTTCCAGTATGGCTGACCTGACTATCATGAGATTTTAAGCAAAATGGTAGCTCAATTTTCCATGCCATTTAAATGCATGCTCAGTGGTGAAATGCAGTAGATGTCAAAGTAAATATAAAATCATGGGACATGTTGGAGTTGATGAACTCATCACAAAAATAAGAGAAAGCCAGAAAGTTCCCAAAGCAGTTACTAGCTTCCAGTATTAAGTGCTGCATAAGGATGAATTCATAGGGATGTTTAATAGATTAGTAACAGAACTTGTTCTGAGATAGTGATACATTGAGCATATGTAATTCCTTTTTGTTAGCATGTTTAGAAAGCATTTGAGTGCATCATGAGTAATGATTGGAGCTAAATTTGTAGCAGTTTAACCCTTTATAGTTCACTGGGAAAATTATTTCCCTCCTCTTGTATCTTGCTTTGTCAGAGAAATATGGGATAAATATTTCCCACCAGAGCAAAAGAGTCACACACATGTCCTTGAATTGTTATTGCATAGATGGTGTTGGAACATTTTTAAAATCAATTTTTAAATGGAGTATAGCATGTAAGGAGTGCAAATAAAATATGAATTTTTTTTAATGAACTCCCATCCTTTTGCCTTGTGAGGGGTTAATGAACTTTTTGACTCATGGTTAATCAACTAATTTGACACATTTTCAGTAATTTTCTTGTGTAAGAGGAACAACTCGTACCACACTATATGTTAATATTGGAGAAACTTTTACTTTTGCTTGGCCACCTGAGAATAATGGAAAGAAAAATGACACCAGACCAGTTCTCCATCTGGCTTTGTAACCTTTTATAATTTTTTTAAAGGCATAATGAGGTGGAATGAGAAAAAGGTAGGCTGACCCTCTGGAAGTTCTTGTGATGATATTAGATCATGGGATTACAACAATTTACCATGAGGCCTTTCCATCTCATTCCAGTCATACCTTAGCTAAATCATGGATTAAGTTAAAGAGGCAAGACTCTTACAGGGTTTCTGAGAAAAGGTCTCAGTGAAAGCTTGAGAAGTAATTTCATGCTCTATTGTCTCTTTCACCCACCCTTGAACTCTTTCATGAAGGTGAAAGATGATGCAGTGTTTGTGCATAAGGGTGTGAATCCAGAGATAGACTCATACTCAGCATTTTGGGACAATAACAAGCTATCTCAAACTGAGCTCCATGAGGAACTGACGAAATGGGATATCACTGATGTCTTCTGCTGCGGCATTGCATATGATGTCTGTGTTGGTATGTCACTTTACTTAACCTAAACCATCTTTGTGACGTTGGAGCATTTCATCCATTACATTTCCTCAACATCATTGATGGTGTGCATGCAGTTGAAGGAAGGGAGAGGGGACAGTCACAGAGTCCCATTGAGCAGTAGTAACTAGGACCTATGATTCACTGGAGTGGATCCTGGAATACTATGTTTCAATCCCTCAGAATTTGAACTTTCAAAGGATTAGGAGTTTCCAAGTACAGGTATTTGCCTATTGTCTTTGTAACTAGTTCTTGAACATGATATCTTGATTTTAAACTGGGTAGCAATGGAAATTGTAATATTATTAATGGGGAGCTGCTTAATTATAGAGACCTGGCTAGAACTTTGACTGCAGTACAGGAAGAGGGGAAGGAGAAGTAAAATTTGATGAAATGGATTTTTCTCTTGATACCTGTTGTCCCTCCCCTTCTCCCTTCATTCCATTACTTATTTTCCCCTCCCTATTCTCTTAATCACTGTGCCATCACTTTTTCATCATTTCATCACTCTTTTACACTTTTATCTCTCCTTGGGTTTTGTATTGCAATACAATTCCAGGGAAAAAAAAATATTCAGAGCTGCTAAGCTTGAAAAAAAAAAAAAGGTCATGGAGCGTATCAAAAATTCATTTTGTCAACCAATTTAGAAGCAAAATTCATTCCAGAAAACCAACATCGAAATTCACATCCAGGAATCAGGGAGACACAGATCTTTATAGGTCCACTGGTGGAAAGCTTCTTCAAGATGCAATAGGCTCTGTATCAGAAGCTAAAAATTATAAAGGAACTTGATCATGTGCATGGCTCTGTTCACAACTGAGCTGCCAACCATGTCATCTTGATTTTCCTTTCCTCCCATTTTGTTATCTAAATGGTTCAATTGTTGCATAGACTCCTGTTATAAAATGAAACTTCACTTTTATGAGCATGGAGGTCCATCTAATGCTCTGGTGATCTTCATTTTAAAGCCTCAAGATATGTAATGCTAGGTATTAAAGACAGGATATAGGGTGGATTTTTTAATTGAGCATTATCTGATAATGCAGCTTTATTTCAGAGAAATTGCATTATAAATCTGGTAAATAAAGCTGCTTTATCAGATAGTGCTCAGTTCAAAAATCCACCCTTAGTATAAACTTCATTGCATCTTCTATGCTGTCTTCTGAAATATATCAAGTCTTTTTTGAGAAGTGTGCATGTGAGAACTACACATGGTGTTCAGAAGGTATCATTAGTGGATGCTGATTTAAGTTAAGTAAGCTTCTTTTTAATAATTCTTGAAAATGCTTCTCCTGCTTTGTTCATTGTGTGATTTTGTGTGTAGCCTTGTGGGGGATATAAAGGCTTTATTTCATGCCAACTCAGGCATTGGCTCTTCCTTGGTTTTGCTTGTCCTTTTTTTGCATTGCTGCATGACATTCATTTTCTTTGCAGTTGCATTCTTCATGTGAAAAGTCCCAAGAGGATCTCAAGTCAGGCAGCACAGACTGGAAAGAAATAAGGTAGGCATTAACGATTTTGGATCAAGAGAGAAGTTAATTGCCCTTCTCCCTCATGGCTTCCATGTCTCCTCTTAACCCTCAACTCAGAGGTAGATCTTCAGTACCCAATGGCATGTTCAAACTTGTCCTCTCTCTGATGTACCTCTTCACAGTGGGCCAGATTCATTAAAAACCTGAGTGAAAAAGTCATCTTTGCAATGTGTAGCTATGTTTATGATTTTACAAGGAATGTCTAAAAAGTCTTCACGAGCAATTTTTATTCCTCAAGAAAGAATCGTACACAGCATAAACTATGATCCAAGGTTAAATGGACTTTGATCGAGAATGACGTGGCATTTTTGTTTCAAATAGGCGATAGGGGATGATGTTGCATTATCAGGAAACATGGTAGCTACTAACAAAGTTGTGATTGAGCAAGGATTTGTAGAGAAAATTTCCTGATTTTGGCAGTAATGGAACCATGGTGCTTTTTCAAAAAACAATAAAAAAGAAAGATTTAATGAACTTTTAGCATTTTTGAGAATGATTGCAATGGCTAGACAATACATTGGTCTTGGTGCCCTTTGAGCATGTTTGAGACCTGCTGGGTAGCTATGTCTTCTACTGTTCATAACCTTCTCAGACTCTTCAACAACTTGAAGCTGCTTTGCTTTTGGAAGGGGCCAATAGCACTGAAGGATTGATCCAGAGGATTGTCAGGTTTGAAGAAGTGCTGCCAAACATGTCTATGGGCAAGGGGTCATCATACTTCATGCAATTTTTTTAATACTAATTTTCTGTGTGAACTTCTACTTTATCTTTATCTGTGACAAACAGTTAGAATGTAATGCCACACTGAACATAATGGATTTTTTTTTTTTTTAGAGAAAACTTGATTCTGTAACTATATCCTTCTGAAATATCACAGGGCTGGTAAAGTTTTTGTGGGTAGTGTATAACCTGGAACTTTACTTGGTATATGCAGCATATGAAAACATGCATCAAAGTATCAGTCAACCTTTAACCAACAGGCTATTTAAAATTTCTGTGGGTTTGCTGCTGGCAGACATTTTCCATGTATTCTGTGATATTGTGCAGAGTTTCACATAAAATGCAGTCATAACATTGATAACTTGATGAGAAAACAATTGATTAGATGGAAAACTAGAGACTAAAGGTCTTCCTGAAGTATTGGAATTCTAGAATAAGCTCTGGAATGTATAGAACAATTCATCCGTAATGTTTGCACAGTTAATTCCATTCATCTGATGAAGGTTTTCTTATTGCTGGAAGCAGCTTCTAAGTTTCCTTTGTGTGCTTTATATCTGCAAGTTGACCTGAAAATATCATAAAATCATTTATATGTTGTCTTTGAAACAATTCTCCTTGTGTTTTCCTTTGGTAACCCAAATGCATTGTATTGCTGAGTGCCTTGACTGTCAAATTAGCTGGCCATTTTTATAGCACTTTGATTCCAATCATTTATGGAAGGCAATGCCAAGGAAAAGAAAATGACAGTCTTTGCAGGTATTTCCCAGGTATTTCTGGAATTTGGCCCACTGTGTGCTGATGTGATTACATGACTCTTGGGCTTCTCCTTGCCAGTTGTCTCCAGCCAATAAAATACAAATTGTTAAAATAAAGATGGGGATTGCTTGGACTTATGTGTAGCAGTTATGAGATTAATTTATTTGTATCAGTTGAGGGCCAGCAGACAAGAGATATGATGTATCTCTTGTCTGTTGTTCCTTTGAACCCTCCCCTCCCCCCATCAGCACATTCATTTTTAATGGGTGAAAAACTACTCCCCATCATTTTGTGAGTTGGTAGTCATCAACTAATCTACTATCATTTCATCAGGAGGTCAGATAGTGCATCAATTTGGACATGACGTATTGGTACTGGTATATGATTCAATTTGCAAATTTCCTTTGATAGTGAGTTATATTCTGTTCTTAGGATGTTTCAAAAGAAAAATTCATTAAGATCCCTCAATTAATTATATTGAAAGTTTTGATCATAATGTGGTAGTTAATAGTTGATTGTAGTGCATAAGTAAAAATTGCAGCAAATTCAAAAAGGGTAATTTTAACCAAACTTGAAATTGAAATTATGTTAAAATTTGGAAAATGTTTATTTATAGACATTTTCCTCAAAGGGTTAAAATCTTATGGGTCAGACTAGAGGAGAGAATATGAACAATGTTCACTTTTAACCCCCCCCCCTTTCATAGCAAAAAGATTCCATGTATCATCCTGCAGGGATTCTTGGAGTAAATGCTGGATTTCAGATTGTTACAACGTTTTCAACTGGATACCTACTTCCTTTATTTTTTAATCTGGATATTCCACGATGTATCACAAAATCTCAATTTCCTGACCCAAAACATTCATGCACTTCAAGAATGTTGCCATTGGGTTGTTTCAGTGTGCTTGAAATTGTCTAACTGTGTGATACCCTTTAATCCTGTGTTTTTTTTCTGGCTGGTGCATTGGGACTTATGTTGAAATTGTATTGTTGATTCCAACATACAAAATCCCAGAGTATGCTGTAATTTTTCAAGAGCATTTAGTCTGAATACTGACAAGCAACTGTCATAAATGACCATCAAACTTAGTCAGTACCTCAGAGTCAACAGGTGCTGGTTTTCATTTCTGTCAGGTGTTTGTGAAGATTGTGACACTTGATGAAGTTTTGGGTAAGCAAGTAAAGATTTTAAAAGCCTTCAGACTTCCAGGAACATGCTGATATAAAAATCAAGGACTTAGGTTTGAAAAAGTTGTAATAATTTGAAATTTGTGTTCCTGTTGGGTACAGTGTAGTTCGAATGGTACTCTGATCTTTTCCAAAGTAATCTGGTTTGGAATTTGTGCATCTGAAGTGATAGGCCCATTTTTCTTCACAAATAATGAAGATGAGTCTGTTACTGTAGATTCACAAGGTTACTTAACTTACTTCAAACTTCCCTGTAGCCAAATAAATATACATGAAATAATTTAAACTTTTTGACTTTCTCTTTCATACGTATTACAATCTTTTAAGTCAATGCCAACAGAAATATGAGCTATTGAAATTTTAAACATTTTTAATTGTATATTTCTGACCTACTTTTTTTCTTCTGGTGCTATTAATGGTACTGTTATTAATTGTGTGCATACAATATACCATAAACTTAACGTTTTTTGTGGGTAACATAAGGCATAGGTTTATGTTTGTGACAATTTTTCCTCATTGTTGAATATTCTCTGCGGATACAGATCATTGTGTATTTCCCATATCCTGGTACATGGGCAGAGAGAAGATTGTGGTTCATACATGAGTGGGGAACAGGTTCACCATATTGATAAAATCACCACTGGCCTTAAATCTTTCGTCTTTCTTCATCCTTGGGTGCAAGTCTTCATGATTTTTATTTTGGAGACCTGTTGGCTTTTTGTGTTTGTCTGGGCACCTTTCCATTCCTCTATCTCAAGTCCTAAATGCTCCTGGGTCTGATGCAATTTATACATTATTTAGAGCATGTTAGCTTAGCTGGTATAGTTTCTTTAATGCTTTGCAAAATGCATTTTTTATTTTGACTGTGCTTCAGCGGAGCTTGTGGCCTTGGAAAGTTTCATGCAGATCTATTGTTAATTGGGTAAAGGGGTCAGGCTTGGTTCAATAAGTTTCATTCATGGGAATTGAGTTATTTTACTTCATAGGCACACAGGATGGTGAGAACCTGAAACCACACCATTCATTGACACTTGGCTGCCATGGTAACAGGATAGCCTCATTAACTGTGCAATAATCTGTTGACTGCTACAGCAGCTTTATTTTTTTACCAAATTGAGCCCAGTTTGATGCATTTTGTAGAGAATAGCCCATTCTATGCAAATAACCAGAAAAATCCACCTCTCTTTGCTCCATAGTTGAGTTTTGGCAGAATAACTGAATTTTGAGAGTTTGGATTTTAAAATTTTGAGATTTTATCCAGAAAATTACAGATATACACACTTACTTAGATGTTAATGGCTCATTGCTCAGTTTAATGGCAACAGCATCCTGTCTTAATTTTATTGATACATCAAAAAGAATAAGAAAGTTATAGTTGTTGGAAGAATGCAATTTTCACAAAAACCACAAATAGAGTAAAATGAAGTCAAAGTAGAACAAGGTCAAACATCACCCCAGTGCACTTTGATAACAGTTCAGAATGCTCCAGATAGGTAAACTACACCCTCAGTTACTTTTTCATGCTCTTCATTGTTCTTTCTGAACTGTCTTTTGTTCTGCCTGATCAATATGTTGTGAATAATTTCCAGAAATTTCCAAGAATTTCATTGTCTGGTCAAAATTTTGATTTTCTGACCCCTTTACCCCCTTGAGAACCATGGGTACCAGATAGAGCACATTTGGAGTGGAGGAGGAGACCCTCTTCCATTCTCATTTCCTGATGATTTTGTTTCTATTAAGTGTAAACAACCATCTTTATATTGTAAGATGTCTGAATGGAGGAATTTCAAAGGATCTGCTACTGCTTTTCACAATGCTTGCATTAGGGAAGACCAGAGGGTTATGAATGCCTCACATATGATCAGAAAGAAAGAGGGGGGTCTACATTGGTCTATGACATGAATTATTAATTCAACCTACTCTAGGTCTGAAAGTCTCCTAACCATGCTTTGGAAGAACTAAGATAGGGTATATGCCTCAGTTTCATGACAGCACTAAAAGAGCCAGAATGTGACAGTAGATAAGTGCATAGCTTAGCCCAATATTCAGTCTTGGCTTTTGGGACATTGTTTTAAGTCATATTTTGAAGTGTATGACTGATGAAGGGTAGCTGTTAAGTTTCACTGTTTTGAAAAAAAAAGTGAGACTGTTGTTGCTTTGCCAAAATTTAACCATTTATAGGTTAGTGGTCATTATGTTTGTCACTTTTATTCAGGCCTATCATTCTCATTAAATGGACTCAAACTTTGGTTGATCTTGGGATGGTGGTAATTATTCTGATACTCTTTTCTTTTTAATAAATTAGTTTTGAAAATATTGTGTATATCATTTCTAGTGCCTAAAATCATCAATAATTTATACTTGTGTTATTATTTTTTATTTGCATTGGTAAAAATTGTGTCCTCTAAAGGGTTAAATAAAAGCTCATGAGGTCGTGATGTTTAGTGAACTTCATTTACAGGATTATGTAAAGTTTCTTGATATTTATTGGAGGGCTATACTGAGCAAAATATGCATAATAGTGGGGTAATATTCAGTGGAAACATAGAGGAGACCATGGGGAAAGGGAATGTAGGATTTTCAGAATTGTCTGCATGGAGATGCCATCCACCTCAAAATATCCTCATGCTCCTCACATGAAATGGCACCACTGACCACCTCACAGGATGTCAGTTTGACAATGGAGGTGCCACACAACAAGCTATTGTCTCAGTGGACCTCAAAGATGCCATCCACTCACATTGACCTTGTTGGACATGGATAGCATCAGTCAGCTGTCTATCATTTCATATCCTGGATGCTACAAATCTTGGTCTTGGATGGCCTGCTCTTCCTGCATTCAACTTCTCCATGGTCTCAATCATTTTTCCTCAAAATATTACAATACTAGTCATGTTTTACATGGTATAGCTGTTTGAATGTGCCAAGAAAATTTTGTTACTATCCCTGCATTCAAGTACTGAGGCTTTTTAATTAAAAGTGGAATGTGTGTGTGTATGAATGCATTAGTCTATGTTTCAGTGCAATGCTTTCATCTCCCAAATGGAAATACAGGGTGATTCTTTCGTTTTAGTACCCTGCCTGAGTTATTCACGTTTTTTAGGGTACTAACACGAAAGAATCACCCTGTACTTCTGCATCAGATTTAAATTTTTTAAAGAGAACTTACCAATTTGGTAAGCTTGACACCTGTATGATTTCACAGTCTTTTTGTTCAAAAAGTTTAAGAAGAAATTTATTTTGAAATAAGTTTGAAATTAACAAATTCCTTCATGGAGAGCAGTGGAGGGATGGTGGTCTCTTCACACATACCACAAACCATCCTCATGCAGGCTATCTCCAAGCATCATCCTATGTTCTTCTCTCCTCATTCTTTCATCTTATCCTCTATTATTTCATCTTAATAACCTATGATGTTACACTCAAAGGAGCCTCAATACTGAAATGGGTGCACCTATCTTAAGGCTAAGTAATGCCTACTTGAAGTTAGAATCCATGAATCACTTTAAAACCCTGACTTCATGAAAATTATTCCAATTACTAAACATCACTAAACTCATGTCCATGCCTGAATTCTGACCCTTCTAATGAGAATTTGGATTCTTTGTTTGCTATGAGTTTGACTTATGCTCTAAAAGTCATCACTCCATGTCAAACAAGGAATCACATTTCCTTTCCTTCAGAATGCATTTCTATAGATTTTTTGTTTTCTTGACTGTTAAGGCATGCTTAATGCTTGAGTAAATGAATTCTTGCTCAAGTATTGTGCTGCCATCATGTCATCCTTAATTTAAAAGACTCATGTTTGTAATGATTTCATGACCTGACCTGACCACTAAGAATGACAGTTTGGATAATGCTACAATGAAAGTGATGGAGAGAGATTTGGTGCTTCCCTTTATCTTACATTATTCAGATTTACCAAACATTCATAACTGAAGGAATTTTATTAATCATATGGATTTCAGGTTCACCATTTTTGAGCAATTCAAACAAATGTTGGTAGAAGTTGTGCACTGTCATAAAGCTGCAAGTGATGCACAAGCTACCTCTTTGTTAGAAAAATTATAGCCCATAGCCCCATAACCCCTAAATGTGACTCTCTGGAGAAGGAGGATCTTGACCCTTTGGCTGTTTGCCCAAGTACATACTCGGGCTTGTGTAGTGGTAGCATGGGTATGTTCTTGGGCTTAGAACATTCACTGTTTCTAAGTTATTTCATAGCTATTCATGCATGTAACTACTATCTTAAATAATAATCATGATATGACATTTACATAAACTATTGTTTTACACAAGCAGAGCCAATTTTTATATGAAAATGTATCAGCCATCCCCCCTGTGTTGTAACAGTCAAAGGGTTAAAAGCAGAAATTTACAGTGGTGCTGTGTGAGTTTAGCGCATCTCGCAGAATGCTAGGCTCTAGCGACACCTCCCTCAAAATGAATAGCATGCATTGCATAATGTTTCATACTCCCTGCTCTCCTCCACTCTCCCAGTGCTTCTCAAAATGGCAAGACCACCTGGGAACCATGTCTGGGACCCTTGAAACAATGGCTCCATTACAAACCCTCCCACTGAAGGTATTTGTCAGTTTCACACTTGGTTGTCATGGTGCCCAGGCAAAAGAGGACCACATCTGACTCATATCATACCATTATTTGGTATTTTATCAATAAGATTTCTATAGTGTGGAACTCCTTTTCCATTTATATATAGGTCTTTCCATGGAGTACTTCAGTGTATTCCGTGAATCTGGGTGTTTGATATCCATCCATTCCAAAGACTATTGACAAGCCATGCATTCCTCTCTCCAAGGGTTGTCAGATGGATGCGTTATTTGGAGTGGCACTTGCTCATTGGGTGGGAAGAGGGAGTGTGAAACATTATGCAATGTGTGCAAATAATTTTGAAAGGAGTACGAAGCCTCTCGTGCATGATATTATATGGCAAGTATAAAAGTCGATAGGGAGCACTGTTATATTCATATATATTTCTTCAAAGTATGTTGATGATTTGAAACTACTATTGGGTATTCTCTGAAAATCATCTACACCTCAGCAGTAATTTCAGATAGAAGTAAATGGAATGTCACCACCACAGTTGCTGTGTTTTCTTTGCTAAAAGTTCATTGAAATCTCCATTAGTATGTCCTGGAAATTCAAAATGATCTTTTGATTCCCAGAGACCCTTTTTGATGTAAAACAAAAATCATGATTTAAAAAATTTGGCCATGGTCAAATATTTCGGGGATATTTAGTATAATGTTGTGATACTAAGATTCTTATGTATAGCCTTTGGCAAAGATTGTGGTTTCTGATTCTCAAGCAAATGGAGTGGCTCAAATTGAGGATAGTATGGTTTCATTATAAGGCATCTATAGAATGCAGACCAGGCATATCAGATATTTTGTACCACTGACATATATCTGTAGGTGCAACAGCAATGGATGCAGTGGAGTACAACTACAGAACAATTCTGATTGATGATGCATCTCGAGGGATATCTGTGGGTGATATCTCAAATACTCAAAACTACCTGCGGGAAAGGCATGCCCTTGTTGTAGACTCTTCTCGGGTATGTTCCTTCCTGACTTCATCCATTTCTTTTTCATCATATTGTTGAAGTTGAGTAAAATGGTTTATTTTCCTCATTTAAATTAAAGCTAAAAGTTTGGCCTGGAATGACGACAGGCATATTTTCCCCAATTCTCATCCTTAGTCCAAGTTAAATGCTCATTTTGGCATAAAAAATAAATGTATTCGATATTGAATGGCATCAATTACCTGCTTTGTCACCACGAGCCATATTGCTCTTTTTTTCTCTTCTAACCCTTGATGTCCTCCAACCCTTTCCTGTTAATTTTGCCCATATTGAGTGTTGAGAGATATCTAGAGCATGGAATTCTTCTCTGCTGATGGCAGGAGTATCCAGTGACTTACATGGTTACCAACCCTAGGTGGAATATATTAGGAATCAAGAACTCTGAAATTTTGGGGGGTTAGAGGTTCAGAAAATTAATTTAAATGAAGTAATTCAGATAGTATTAATGGGTCAGAAATAAATAATGGATTTACCACATTCATCCTTATTCATCTGCATGATATAGAAAAAAAAGACAACCCCCAAGTTTTATCATGAAATCTCTGCTCTTATTGCTGCTCTTATTCAAAAGGAGTTGGGTATTGAAAATGGATATGACCTTTGCTAGTGGTTTTTATCTCATCAGGTTTTTAATTGCAGATAGCTATGATTAGCCTCTTTCTTTTTAAAGCCTAATATACAAATGATGATTCAATAGCTACCAGAATTTTCATAAAGTATCTTTTCCCCCATTTATCCCCCAAATATCCTTTTTTCCACATTTTCCCCTCATTCGTATTGAAGGGGGAAGTACGCAGGGCCAAGTCTACAGGGACTGAAGTTCCTTGTTCATTCTTAGTTTTAAATTTCTTTAAAATATTTCCTCATCATCACACTTTGTCAGAACTACATAGCAAGAAATTTCCAAAAGGAATTTTAAAAAATTTGTCTCTGAAAAATGTAAGTTTAATCATAGGAAGTGATGGTAGTAAGAGCAGAGACATGAACATTAAAAGTTGGAGCTGGGGTAATTTCAACCATACCCTGTAATTCCTCGCCATAAACTCTGTCAATACCCAACTCCTTTATTGTCAGAAGTGTAGCACATGGAGTGAATGTAAAGTCCCCCTTAAGGTTAGATATGATAAGTCTAATAAGACACTGACTTTTTAAATTACTTTTTGCTTCCTTTTTTTTCCACAAAAAGCATAGAGTTGCTATTGCATCTGAAAGGGCAAACTAGTTGAGCATTGGTGGATGAAACCAGGATTGTCTACTGAGAATCTATGGAAATTCCACTTCTATTTGAAAAGGTGAAGGACATGGTGCTCGGGAGAGATCGAAACCCAGTTCTGGGTTATGCTGCAGCTATTCGACTTCGCAAGGCCTACAAGGACTCCGAGAAGGAGAATCATTCTGCATGAAAGATGTATGTGCTCCTTAGAACTAGATGGTCCGTCCAACATCGCTTTGGCTGTTTTCTTGATTTCTTCTTCAAAATGTAGAGGAGTAAAAAAGTAAAAAAATAGAGTGTTTGGAATGTGAGCCTTGATATTGGTCTCACATGTGATGAGGTTTGTAGGTGATATGATGAGGAGTCTTTCACTTTGTGAATAGTTTCAGATTGCACTGAAATTACATATCAAATTGGATGTTAGCCATGGAGGTTTAATTCATTGCATGTCCATATTCAGGCAGCATATTTGACCTAGGGGACTTTCACTTCTTGTAGTATCCTGTTAAGGGGGCAGTAATCAGTCTAGGGGTAACCTCTATGTAAATATTTGGTGTTATGCTTTATATTTCCCCTAGTTATGTGGTACGTTATCTTCCTCATGTTAGGCAGTTGACAAATTCTGTCTGCCCACACTTGCCTGAAAATACCCAAAGGCAACACTAAGCTTTCAAGAAGACAAAAACATCAAGGAGGGAGACAGAAAGGTGTTCCCATCAAGTCTGGCTGTGCATCAGAAATGATTTTTTATTACCCAAATAGCCTCAAATGTTCTAATATTTATTTGCAGTGAAGGATTTAAGTCTTGAGAAAAATTTTAATGCTGGGTACTTTCACTATTTGAACAATAGTGAAGACCATTGATGGTATGAGTTGTATTTTTCTATACTTTCATGAGTATCTCATGTACTTCTGAGTGCATGGGCTGGCTCACTCCTGAGGAGGGGGAAAAGGAGCCATTGTAATTCAAACTTCACATTGCAGCCCATTGTAAAACAATTTTCCCCCTCAATTGGTTTGACTGTTGTGGTCATTTGACAGTGAACCCTCTTTCATGAACTGATATATCCTAGGTGCAGGTAAAATTATTTGCAGGTCAAATTATTTTGCATTTCTAGTCTCATTTCTGCAGCATGTTGTGTAGTCCTAGTCTTGTATATGGCTGTTTCCCGGTGACTCAGACTCTGACAGAAACAACTGCTTGGAAATAAATTTATTCTCTCCTGAATTTGACTTTCTCTATTGAGGGAATACCTCGTAATAGAAAGAACTTGAAATATTATCAGATGAACACAAAAGCGAAATTAAATGAAACAATTGTATTACAAGTAAGGGCGCAATAAGTCCCCCTGCAACTTTATTTCATGGAAAATAAATGCCATAAGAATAATGCTATAGAATATTTAACATCATAACATCATCATAATTAAGCAGTGCCCATCGGAGTTCGTTACCATAGATGTGGATTTGGAGGTAAACGCTCTTGAAAAGCTAGAGTTTCCTCTCCTTGGGAATGTTAGATCTGACAGCCACGGACGATCGGAACTCCTGCTAAACTGCGGAATCCCTAAAGATGCGACTGTCGATCTCGTTTCCGTATTGCCCATCACTCGAGAACCAGACCACGAGGTAAAGGGTGTCTAAAAGAGAAGTTAACCCTGCAAGATTCTATTTTTCATGTGTTTTCCTATACTGGAAGAATGCTTTAGTAGTTATATATACGTGAGAATGAGCTCTCATATGATTGAAGACTGCATGAAAATGGATCTATTCGGAATCGAGATACGAGAGAGCGAAAATTAGGCTGAAACGAGTAGATTGACAACGACGGTCACGAAGGAGCATGTTGGGCCTGAACATCACCATTCACACACACACTCACACTAACACGCTATACCAGATTCGCAAATGGACACACTTGCGACTGGGAACGGCTTCCTGACCCAATGAGGAAGAATTTGTTTGAATGGGACTGGTTTCACAACGTGAGTCGACCCAGGCCTGGACGCGACTTGAGAGTGGTCACGGCGTCCCCCTGAAGTGATTTTCGCGAAGGGGACAGGACTGCTATCGTGGGTGGCATCGCGGTTTGTTAAAGTAAGCCCGTATTGATTTCTGCCGAACGCATGCTCCCATCTGATTCATTGGAATTCTTCCGTGGGTTAACCAGACGTAGAAGTAAAGGCTAGACTAGGTTCACCTATTAAAATTTCCTTCTGACAGTAAGTCCCTCTATTATTATTATTTTTTTTTACGAAAGCACGACATGAAGAGCGATGCAGTGCTCATTTTGGCAGGAAACTTATGGATCCCTAACTCATTCGATTGTGTGTATTGCTGAATCCTCAAAATGGCAGCGAGAGATGATGAGTCAGGGCCCCTGAATTTTACCGACGTCCGTTTTAACTTTCCATATCTCTCTTCAGGTTAAGATGATTTTCATGCGGCTTTCATAAAAATAAAGCCTAATCTTGCTTCTTTCTCTCTGCTGAAAGACATTTTCATTTTTGGTCAATATGCAGCAAGAAATATAAATTCTTTTGGCGCTTACTTTTTCGAGGCACCCTTTACTTGTACTCGATCGTCATTCGATTGGGGCTGCTCTAACGTGTAAGGGGACTTCTCGTGAGGATCGCGATCCGTGTTTCTGGGATGCTGGCTTTCATTCCGGTCGCTGCACGGACGGAATCGAACCGTTCCGGCACTCTCTGGAGCTCCTGTCGAGACTGAGCCGAAAAGGACGGCATCATTGGCAATGAGAAGTACGAGGGATGTCCAAAAAGTAAGGAGACTGGCTCCATTAAACGGAACGAAGAAGCAGTCGAAGCTCACTCGCCCTTCCAGGGTACTCCCAAGCGATCTCCTGAATGCACGCTTCCCATCGTTTCGTCCTCGTCTTAAGGACCTCCGCCAGGCCATTTTTAGGCATCACTTTCAGAGTACCGATCAGGCTGTTATGTTTTTCGGTTTCAGGGAATAGAAAAGAGTGACACGGGGCCGAGTCTGGGGGAGGGGGTTTGGGAAAAACCTGCATCCGTCTTCTCTTAGCAAAGTCTTGAATTTCTGCGCTGGTGAAGGATCCACTCTCACCGTTTCTCCTTCATCTTCCCCACGAGAAGACTCCTAATCACACTCGAGTTGTCGGTTCCAGTCATTGTCCGACCTTTGGGAATCCGATGATGAATAATTCCTAGTTCGTCGATGACGAGATGCATCTCTCTGGGCTTCAAAGAACTTTGGCTTTTTGTGGCGAGGGCTTTTCTAGAGTTTCATTCCCTGATCATGATGATGGAACCGGGTTTAGTCACACGTGATGACACGATTCGGAAACTCGGCTTCCCCTTCCCGCAAAAGTAGAATTTTTGCCAATTTCTGCAGACGGTGACTCAGTTGGAGTTGAGAAGCCTGGGGGGGGGGTTCCCGATGCCTATTTCCCTTCGCAGAAAACAATTGCTTTAGTGTTTTTGTGCCATTCATTGATGATATAAAGACCACTTATCATACTGCCTGATTAGAGGAGGGGGTGGTGGGGGGAAAGCATTTGCAAAAGAACGTTTTCACATCGATTATGATGCGGTATCGGTCTGGACATCGTTTGCCGTGCTTCGGATTCCTGAAGAGAGAGCAGATGGTGCTTGAGCTTCGTATCGCCGGTCGAGTAACACGTGTGAAAAACCTCACGAGTCCACGGATCGCATCATTCATGATGGAGACGCTTCGCTCCGTTGAAATGATTACCATCGATGAACTTGCTCTTTCGTCGAAGGAAGGAAACGCCGATCTCCGAGGGGTCGAGCCACAGAAGCGCGAAGTTTCGGAAGAAACGATGAAGGCAGTTGGACGCGGAGACCTTAAAGACCCTGATATACGAGGCAAGAACTTGCTATGAGACTTGCATCGTGTATACACCACTTGCTTCGCTCTAGCAAGCCCCGGCAAGTCCCAGTAAGTGCTTGCTTCCACTTTCCCCTCGGTTCAAAATCCTAGAAGGCTTGTAAGCAAGTCGCGCCCTGATTGGTCGGGAAGACACCTATGCAATGCGCATGCGCAATCAAATCATCCATTTCATTAAACCAGACGATCTGCACAGGTCACGTCATTACCTTCTGAGCTCTCGTGGGGGTAGGTTACTCTCTTTCTCATGCATTCTAGCAACCACTTCATCCGTTTCCTATTGAAGAAACAGATGCACACTGACTATGTAGTGGCTTTCCTCTGCATTCCTTTGACTTTTCTAAATAGCAAAAGACCCTTTCCCGCGTAATAGCATTGAAGTTGGACTCGGAAGAATGGGAAAAAGCAGTGACCGTGGATGTCGTGCGTCAATACAAGGCGGAACTCTCCTGAGAAGGGAATTTATTTTAATAAATTTTGCGTCGCAGGACTTTTTTCTGCATCAGAATCATGAATCAAGAGGATGAAATTTCACTCTTAGGTGATAATCTGTTTCTTAATGAAAAGTATTTGTCGGAAATGACCCCTGTGCATTCGAAGTTAAATCACGGGAGTGATATTGCTCTCATAATTGGGTATATAATCCTGATCCCTGAGCGGTCGTGGTACTCCTACATCATAACATTACAGAGACAAGGTCGATCACGGGAGCCGGTAATAAGGGCTTCCGTTGCTTCAATGGAGAGTTGGGGCGCCATGTTAAACAAAATTATGCCTAAATCATTGTCTGCAGGTATACAGAGACTAGACCTAGGTCAAGGACTGTAGGAATACGAAGACAATGGCCCGCGAAAGATCTCTCTGACATCTACAGTAGGTGTGAGTTTTCGCTCTTTTCGATTTCGTTTCACAGATGCTTGATAACTTTCGAGCAAGTGGAGGCAAGTCCTTGCTAGAGTCTACTTGCTTCGCGTATACCCTCGCTTGCTCCTTGTAAGCAAGGACTTGCTAGCAAGTTCTTGCCTCGTGTATCAGGGCCTTAAAACGTTACTCGAGAAAGTGGAACCGAGGAGAGTCGGTGTGATGTCCTCACTTCCTGGACCTCGAGAAGGAAATTCCAACGTGACGTTTTCGGGGTCGGGAAAAGCAGTCGTTCGTCATTCACGAAAGTAGATCTGCGGCCGTGTGGAATCGAAGGGTATCGGGCACGCGTTGCATCTAAGAAACGGACGCAGAGAGGGGTGTCGATGTTCCCGGTTGCGGCGATCTCACTCCAAGGTTTTCCGCATCGTACTTTCTTCGAGGGAAGACAGCTTTCGCGAATTCGTTCATCGGTCTCGATCGAGAAGTCGTTTTCCTACCGTGCCGGGGCTCACCCGGAATGCCGAACGATCGACGGTCATCATTCGTGGGAATTTCTGCCGCGACAACGTCTCTTCCTCGATGCCATCGAGAACGCAAGCTCTGGATGTGAGGCAGACATTAAGATAAATCTGCAGTCTACAGATGCAAATTTCTGCCAGGGTTGCAGCTGCTGCTCGGAACATGACGACGGTCCGACGCTGGTTTCATTCCAGAGGTGCGCATCGGCGGTCTTCACCGCGGTCGCAGTGCGGTGCGGTCCAACGATGCTTAATGCTTAAGTGCGGTCGAGTTCGTGGTGACGGAATGAAATAAGAAATAGCTTTGCTTTCACAGAATTGCTTTTTAAAAACGAAATCGAATGGAATCGAATTTCATCCGCGCCGCATCGCGACCGCACTCGAGCATCCGATCTTTGAGCCGCACCGCACTGCGACCGCGGCGAAAGTGCGGCGAAGATCGCCCGATGCGCGCCTCTGGTTCATTCCTCGACAGAAGTCGCGGTGACTGCACTTCTTGCATGCGTGGTTAAGAATACCGTCGGCGATGCAATATGCATGCTTAGCAAGTATTCGAGGAGTGTCGAACGACGAACGAACTAGAACCCGTGGTGAAATGACCCCACGGCCCCGTCGAGGACGTATTCCCCGCTCTTTTGCTTCTTTTCCCCCATCGCAGACGCGAACGTCTGTTACTCACGTCCGTACGTGTCGCCGTGAACGACTCGAAAGGTCCAGAAGGCAAATACGGGCACGAGAACCGTGCCCATAACGTAGCGGAAGAGTAAAGGAAAGAGGAGTAGAGCGCCTGGAAAGGGGCTGGGGATTACGACCGATTTTCCCTCAATCACCCCAATGCTCGGCTTCTTTGGAAACCTACGTTTCATCGACGCATACCCTTCGTGCGTTCTACCGATCGTATTCCATGGGGTGGTGAGTGTCCGTGTGTCGTGAGAATCCAAAAATCTCTCCATCGTCCGCCCCCGAGTGCCATTCGAACGTACACGTATACGGTATCATAGACCGCAAACGATGTGAGATGAGGAATTCTTGCACGAGAATAACTCACTATTTGGAGCGTCTTCGCGTCCAAGGAACGGGCGAGGTCTCGAAATAAACCCTTAATTAAGGAAATGATTAACTTTTTTAACGATTCATCGAGAAGAACGTAGATGTCGGCAGGGGGTTTTCGTGAAAGCATGCAGAAACGCACGTCGAAAATATGAGCTGACGACTGGAATTCATTTTCTTTTTTAATAACACGATGGACGAATGAGTACGAATTTTATATGAACTTAAGGAAGTGCTCAAATATATGATCTCTGAAGCACGGTGCTTTTTTTGGATCGACTTAAAAATTTACGTTAAAAACCGTATCGTGCAAAATGACTGGTAACTGAGCCAGGATCGAGGGCAAAACTCAGGATGAACTCTGGGTCCATCGACCCTGTTGAACGGGACGTGGTTCCGTGGACTCCATGCATTTCAGCTGGGTCGTGGAGGGAGAGTGAAGTGAGATGTCGTCGGGGCCATCAAGCCATATTCGTGTCTCTTCTACGTATCTTATCTACCGGGCACGGCAAAAACCTCCTAACGTCGAACCCGTATGTTTCCCTCTCACGAGAGACATATCTTATAATTAATTTAAAAAACCGTGTACCGTCCGGGGGCCGATACGGTATCACTCTTCCCGAGAAGCCTCGTCGAATGCTCAGATCACCATCAAGTGACGAACGATCATCGAACGAAAGGGGGAAATGGAGAATGGATGGAGAGTCGATTCCCTTCTGGGTCTCTTCCCTCGGTTTCCCACCGAGTGACGAAAATGAGCTAATCTAAACCTTGTGAAACATGAGTTTTCCCAACATAATATCCGAATGGAGAATTTATCACGCGGCCCGGATGACATTCGATCACGGTTTGGTGCGTTTCATCGAGTAGTCCCCAACCACGGTCTCCCATCCGTTTTCAAGATTAAACTTTTAAGTAATCACACGGATATGGTTTGGAGAAACGAAGGGTGATGAAGTTGCACTTCTGTCGGGAACACGTAAGCCAGTTAAACACGCGTTTCGTGAAAATTTGCCTCGCATCATCGAGGACAGAAGTGAGATATGGATTCCGATTCGGGGGGTCTTTTCTCCCTACCCTGTAGATTGCGTAGTTCTTATCTCCGGTCTTCTTCCATGCATTATACTCAGAACTCACGTCCCATCGTGTACCGTACGAGTGCCAGCACGCTAAATCGTGAAAGGAGGTGTCATCTCGTATGGTAAGACGAGACGGTGAGGGAGGGAAGGGATGAATACCAGAAGCGCATGCGTATTGCTCGTCTCCACCGCGGCCACCTTTAATTTCCTCTTCGTCTTCTTCTACTTCCTGGATCTCCTGCCCGTTTGCCTGAATCTCCGGGTCCCCGTGCGAATCCCCCGATGGAGGGAGGAAACTCGACCGAAGCTGGTGTACCTCGTCACGGACGCGAGTGGAGGTCTCTCTCCCAGGCAGGCGTGTGCCGTGGAATCTGCTCTGCGTCTCCGACTCCCGTTTCGAGAGAAGGCGAAGCGGGTGATGGTGATTCACGCCCCGTCCACTCGCTCGTCCCTGCCTTACGAGTTCGAGCAGTGGCCCTCTTGGCCCGAGGGGACCGAGGTGGAGGAGGTCGGTATGGATCCCAGGAAGATGGTGCAGGGGACGCCGTTAGAAGGTTGGCTGGATGGCAAGGCCTATCGAGAGGAATCGCGGTACCCCGAAAATCACTTGAGTCAAGCCCTCCGGCTTGCCTACCTCTGGAAACACGGTCACGGGATCTACGTCGATCTGGACGTCCTCCTTCTCGGGGACTTGGATCCCCTGTCGGAGAAGGCAGAGTCGTGGATCGCCTTCGAGTCGAGCGGTCGGGTGAATGGCGCCGTGATGGGGTTCACCGGAAAACCCGGACATCCGTTTCTCCACCGTGCCATGAGAACCGTCGCGGAGAAGTACGATCCACAGAAGATCCCCGGAGCGGGGTCGTCGATACTCACCGACCTCATCCGCGACCTCTGCCCCCGGTCGTCGGCGGACTCGGCGAGCGCAGCCTCGCTCTGCGAGAACGTCACCATCTTCCCGTCCGAGACGTTCTACCGCATTCATTGGAGTTCCGCGAAGAAACTGTTCGCACCCGATCCCGAAGGAGCGATCGTGAAGAGACTGGAAGAGAAAGGCAGCTTCGGAGTGCATCTGTGGAATGCCTTGTCGTCGGGGATGACCGTGAACCTGAGCGACTCGGACGTCCCGTACGCGGCACTGGCTCGAAGGTACTGCCCTTCCGTCGTTCGAGGAAGGGCCTTCTTATGATCATCGGTCTTCTCTCTCGTTTCCTTCTTTATAGGATCTGGCTAAACGCCGAGAACAGCCACCGTTTCTCTGGGTGATGAAAATGCGCACACGTCTGCCTTTTCGTGAATCCTTCTACAGTGGTGGCCAAAATGATTTCTTTGACTAACCTAATGCCGTTCGAAAACGTATGCACACAATTTAATAAAACGATGATCTGTTATTACTGTGACCATCATTTACCGATATGACGAGTGATATCTGAAGGATACGGACCAGTTGTCATCCGATTATCATTCTCGGCAGTCCTGAAAAACGATATGTCTGTAACAGGCTCAGGGCACAGTGGGTCGGATCGCTGGATTTAGAAATCCTTTTTGTTTTTGTAATTCCTTAGCAAAAGTAAACCATTGCGATTTCCGCTTTTTGTCTGGCATAGAAAAGAATTCGCCTGAATCGATCTACGTCCCCACGTTGTGACGCATTCTCAAAGTTTGCTAGATCACTGAAGAAAGGGGTATATCCTTCTGTCATTCGTGATTAGAGGCGGAATAACATGGTTTTGGCTCTTTACCTAGCGCAGGGAAGAATTTTCACAATGCGATACACATGTGATAACTTGTGATGGTTGGATCCATGAAGGAAAGTGCTTTTCTTACTGTTTTTCGTGAGCGAAGCTAAATGAATCCGATTTCAGCTCTTAAGCTATTATACTTTTATTTTCTGCCAATAGTAATACTTGGCTGCAGTGTGATGTCCTTTGAAAGTGTGCTGGATCCTTGAAACGCAACCTTTTTTTTCTGCTGTGGGTGGTTCCATTTCAAATAAGGCACGGCAAAGAGTCTGGTCTGGTTTGGTCGTGGTCTTCGGTTTCTTTTGAAAAAAAAGGAGTATGCGATCCTCCGATCCGAGTGATGGAATATGGTAGCTGATACCCTCTCCGATCCTTTTGTCAGCTTTTAGATGCTCCAGACACCCTTATTCTCCAAGTCTCGGGAAAAAATCTCCATCTCCCTGTTGCTTTTGTCTCTTCGCCTCGAAATGAAGGATTGCAGGCAGAAGACGGTGTCGTGCGAAGGTCACGGCATGCGATGCGTCGTACGCGAGATCGAGGCGAAGACCCAGGTACGAGTTTCTCACGGTGATACGAGAGAAGGTGCTGTGCGGGCTTCGACGGGATGGACTCCCCTGTCGGCAGTTCGCATGGCGTGCCAACGCTCCGATCTGACGGTCGAGAAACGATAACAGCTGCCGCAAAATATACACAAATAAACAAACAAGTTAGATGGAGTAGAGCATCGAAGATATCCTCGTCGGAGACGTCGTAGGAGAACGACAGTCGAGGCACTCGATAGATCGAGCAGTGTTCTGCGAGTGGGTGAGAAGACCGAGAAGACTCTCGTCCCCTCTCAACCGTCATGTTCTGCCCCCTCTCCACCACCGCATCTCTCGTCTTCCTCGCCTGGATTTCACGCGTTCTGTGCTCGCCGATTCCAAGAAATCCAACTGCATCGCACGTGAGTTCGTGTTCGCTCGTTTCGAGTCCGAAAACTTCACGGGTCGCCTTCTCCTCGCGACGATACCATCGAGAGAATGACTCGATGAAACGCGAGAACGGTGACGTGATGAAATGCCACGGTGGGTGACTCCATGAAATGCGGGGAGAATCGCAGTCGAGAGAAAACTCTCAGGTATGAATGGGGAAAACAGCTGCTGCCCTTCGACACGAAGCTCTGTATTTTCATTACAAAACTGTCGTGGAGAATTAACAGGGTGAGTAAATTGTCCCGCAATATAATTGATATTAAAGTATCAATAGGCTTTGGTAGCGTGGTTTTTTGTTTGTTTATTTGTTTTTTCTCCCCCCCCCCCCCCCCCTTGGGCAGCCACTCCAGGGGGGTTTTCGGAGGAAAGAGACCAATCATAAAAAAGATATTGACTCGTAGATGACGAAAAGTGCCCTTTTTGTTGTTTGTGATGCACCATTTCGCCATAAAAAAGTGAAATTAGCTGACGTTCATTTAAGCTTTGAGTGCTGGCTCCGGTCCCGTCTCCCAGTGTTGTCGGATGTCGTGCCGAAATTATGCCAGATTCAAGACTTCTTCAACCTTCGTATCGACGTCTGGATCTTCTATTTTTTAACGCATGGGACATTTTTGTGCTGAGCTCACGAGATGAGCAGAGAATGAAGCGGGAATGAGAAGAGAATGAAGTGCTGGGCGGTAACGAAGTAAAAGTAACGCGTTTCAGTAACTAATTACTTTTTAGAGTAACTTTTTTTGTAACGAGTTACTTTTCAGGGGAGGGTAACGGAACCGGTAACTAGTTCCTTTTTCATGGGAAAAGTATGTGGCGTTACTGTAACGCGTTCCTTTTCTTGATGTTTGACTAATTTTGCTGAAAACAACCAGCGCTTCGTGGCGACATGCATCCTAATTGATGCAAAATGGGGACAAAGACGGGGACATGAAATTGCCTTGAGAAAACATGGTTTATTCAGTGTAGGTTTCTTGGCCGTACCTGCAAAAATATTTCGAGGCGCAGGAGGTCAGGAACGAATTCGAGAGTTCCATCGAGCAGCGGCGTATTTAACGGAGGGCAGAGGGGGCAACCCCTCCCTCCCCCAGCCCCCCCTCTGGCGCCTCTGTGACAGAACCTGCCCCCACCTTAGAGGCAATACTTTTCCATGCCATGAAAATACCATTGCATTGTAAAAAGTTTGTGAAAATTCATTTTAAATCGCTGTATTGGCTGGATTCATGCAGTCCATGTCTAGTTAAAGGGAAACAAGAGAACACGACTTCCTTTTTTTTCTTTTTTTCTATCTGGAACTCATGATAGGGGGCAGGCTGGGGTAGGTCTCCCCATCACCAATGGCAGAATGAGCTTTTTTAAAACTATGGGGTGCGCATTATGTCTATCGGTGTGAATTTTCAACCACCCTACATTCGCAGAAATGTTCAGTTTCGAGATATGTTCTTTTCGATCTAAGTATAATGTACCTCTCATTTTCCCCCTCGCCTCTTTGTTCTCCTTGTCGACCTGAAGACCCATGACCTGTAGCCATCTTGCCTATGGCAAGCAAAATTAATTCACTGAAGGCCATGAATGTGAGCTTTGTGCCCTTGCCTATATCGAATGATCCTCTCTTAGCTTCCTAACAGCACTCTTCCACCTGACTATTCTCAGTCGTTAGAACACACCTTGCACAACCTTTTCTTAACTGTAGGCCGAGGTTAAGCCTAGGCATAAACAGAATATAAATGCATAATATGCAAAATAGTATAGTAAGATTAAAAAATGCTACAATTGTTTAAAAAAGTCATTTTCAAATAATTGTATTACAATTACGGCTCAACACGGCCTGACGCTAGTAGGTTCAACGGAGAAAAGAGGGACAGGAAGTTCAAGAAAGGGGAAAGTAGCATAAAATGTTTTTATTTATTATTATCTTACTTCGCAGCGCAAATCCATCGAGAGAGCGCCGAGAACAGTTGAGGAAGCGGGTAATTTGCATAATGATGTACCAGCTCGCACAATGTTATGCAGCCTAATACTTGTCAAACAAAAGGAAGATGGGAGGCAAGAATGTGGCCATATTTTCCAATTGATTGATGACAAATTCGATGAGCAAATCTGCCATTAATGGGAAAATTTCCAAATATTTGGCACAATATGCTTTGCTTTCAGAGAAAGTGTAAACGTGCTGAGTGTCCCGTAGAGTGAAGTTTTACTTACCTTATATATTATTGAAAAAGTTGAAGTGAGGAATATTCTTTGCGATTCAGAAAAAGAAAGATTGCTGGCGTTCCTCGACGGTCCATCTTAGGCTTCCCGCTCTTGTGCTCGTTGCTCTTCCCAAAGTAGAATGTTTGTGGTTTCTTACATTGAAGTCTTCGTCGTGAATTCATACGTTCTCACTTATGATCGATTTCAAGAAAAGTAAGAAATGCTTCTAATGCGCCGAACGTTGCGAACGCCTGGTGAAGTTACGAGCCGTCCTCGCGTTTCGTTTTCAGGTGAATTGGCTGAAAGCATTTGGATATTTGGGCGATGGGTCGACGGATGCGGAATCTCTGATCGGCGAGGCAGCCATGACGAACGGCATCATGCAGATGCAGCGGTTCGCCGGCCTTCGACCGACGGGAATCATAGACGATCACACGAAACGCGTGAGTTATGGTTCTGTCGCCTGAATGTCATCGGCCGCAATGGGGAGGGTATCGATGGCTGATGGGTTTCACCCTTTCGTCAATGAGTTTTTAAAGCGAGACAAAAAGTTTGTTGCCGGTGTGCATCGGGTCGAAGGCCTTCGTCTAGGGGTAGCCTGGATGAGAGAGGAGGGCAGCCATATCCACCTTTCTTTTTATGCGCGGGGGATTTCCCACTTTTTGCGCTACTTACGAGGTAGTGTCTTTTTAGGCGCCACACTGCTGTGACGCGTCGATAAAGTTTCTGAGTTTTTCCAGATTTTTGCATATCGTGTTCAGAAATGCGATGGGATGTCACGGCGTTTGTGAATACTAGATCGTTGCAGCTGGAGCCATTTGGGGCTATATACAGTAGGTCGGATCCTCGGGACCGTTAACCGTTTCTCGTCGGAAGGAGTCCACGAGATGAAGTAAATCTGGTCCCTTTGTGGTGGGAGCGCCTGAGTCCACGCGGCGGTTCGAATCACCCGTCACGATTCCCGGGGTGGGGTCTGGCCGGGTCTGGCTCATCTGCGCTCAGGGCAGTTGCGATTTCTTGTCCCGTGTCGGCGGATTCCCAGCTGGATGGAAAGTAGAAACGAATCATTTTCCCGATGAAAACGGAATGGAAAACCGAGGCAACAAAATTTCGGAAGGGGGACGTTGCCGTGAGGTCGATGTGATGTTCGTATTCGGCAACGACCACATCGGCCGGGAGAGAGCGTAGGAACACCAGGGTGTCACCCTTCAGACAGGGCTCGCTTTCACAAATGATGTCGAGACCAAGAAAAAGGAGGCGTTGAGAACAATCGTCCCTCTCGCCGACATCCACTCGCTCAAGATCGATATCGCACTAAAGTTGTTCGCCGTGGAGCTAACTCCACTACTCACTTACGGACTCGACACGATCGCCCCCTACTTGAAACATCGACACCTCTTGGAATAGGACAATGTGAAAATTACCTTCCCGAAAAAGACGCTCTGCCTCTCTCGTAACGCCTCTGCCACTCTGGCGCATCAAATGATCGGTACGGTTCTTCCACCGTCTGTGAAGGACTCAAAACGACCAACCGTTTTCCACCGGAGGAACGTGTCTGAGCTCAAAATATGAAGTCGAAGTCAACGAGAGGCATTGGAAGTTCGCAGTGAAGAACTTCACAGAAGGTCCTGCTTTCACCAAACACTGGTTTCAGGGCTAAACGTATGATGCATGCTTTTCTCTAAAAAAAAAAAATCAAGAGTTTAATTCTCCATTTATAGGTAGAACGTTACATCTTGGTCGACTGCGATTTTTCGAACTGATATGGAAAGAAAAGATCTATCTATAAGCTTGCAATTACGGTAATTGTAGAATGTTATGGTGGAGAATTTCCTCTCACCTCCTTGGATGCATCAAAGAACATGCATCATATTCAAGGCGATGTGAATTCTTTAGCAAGTCATTACAATTCAGTTGAACAGGTTTACAGTTTTTGCCCTCCAGCCCAGAGTTATGATGAATTTGTCCAACCGTGACTGATCTCGAAAGAAGTACGAAGCCTTGACCACGGAACCGATACTGGAATTCGAGAGGCCACTCTAGTCATGGGCTACGTCTATGCCTGAGAATGCATTTTCATGTTATGGCCTACGTAGCAGTCGGCTTTGCCTCGGTTTTACGCCGAAACATTTCCTTGCTCGCCCCAATGTTCCAGTAGACCAAGCTGTACTGCAAGAAACCGTAAAGGGACGGAATGACCGAGATCAGGACAGCACACACACTATGCGACTGCTCCCCTTACAAAAGTCCACCTCCAGTGTGGATTTGGAACCAGGTTTACACTAGGCCTAGCCTAGGCGCTATTTCCACCCGTTGGAGCGATGCCCACCCGGGGGAAAATCCACCCAGTTCCAAATACATTATGCGCGAACGGATAGGTGGATTTCCACCGGTGGGGGTACAAGTATCGGTGCAAGAGTTGACACTTGGGGTATTATTGACCTCGTGGAATGCAATTAAATACATATATGAGCTATATCCCCGTTAAATCGTCTCCATCTTTAGGGTGGATTTTTGAACAGAGAACTATCCGATAATGCAGCTTTATTCCAACTAAAATGCATGCTATTTTCCTTGGAATAAAGCTGCATTATCGGATAGTTCTCTGTTCAAAAATCCACCCTTAGTGAGTCGGAAACTTTCGGAAAGCCCTGTATAGTTTATGATAGTTAATTATATCATTATATTTTATCCAATTCCAACTCTGATGGCTGTGGTTCACACTCTGAAAATCCTTCTTTTTTCTATATAGGCTGTTTTCGATTACCTTGCAACTAATAGACACACGGTATCCTTGGGTGCAAGCCAATATTTAAAAAAATTATCTTTGGCTTGCAGCTGATGGAATCGCCGCGATGTGGCCTACCAGACATACTTGGAGGCAGGAAGAAGCGATACGCTCGGGAATCCACTGGCTGGCGGAAGACTCCTTTGTCCGTCTTGTGAGTTTTTTTTTCCCCGCAATTAATTGCGTTTCGATGTCTCCCACCATTTCCAGCTTGGAAAGAAACACTATCTACGATTTCAAGCTTTCAAGGATATTTTTCCAGTTTCGTGTAATGGAAAGAAGAAAGATTTAGCTACAAAATGCTTCTTTCAGACTTTAAATTCGTTAAAGGGTGACTTAGAAAAAAATGCTTGAATTTCTGTTGCGAAAAATCGGCGTGCACACCAACTCGACCCAACATCCACTCGACTTCCTGACATTCGCGAGAAGGGGAAGGGAAACTCGGCAGACGTCGCGAGGATGATCGGATGTGCCTGCTGCCGTATGCAAGAGGTCAGCGCAACGACGATTTTTCGCTAACGAAATTCAAGCATTTTTTTCTAAGTCATCTTTAAGATATTTAAAGTCTGAAAAAAGCCTTTTGGAGCTGAGTCTTTCTTCTTTCCATTACACGTAACCAGAAAATATGTCCTTGAGAGCATCACACCTAAAATGCACGTTGAAAAGAGTGCCCTTTTTTTTGGACCATCCTTTACATTGAAATTGTCTCGTTACTGTGCATGGGAAAGTCCTTTTCTCGCGATCGAAATCGAAATGGCATTTCTTCCTTCGATCGGTTCGACAGCATCGGGAACTGGATCGGCGAACTCGGGGAAGAGAGAACGAAGGCCATCATCGCCACGGCATTACGAGCCTGGGAATCCTACTCGAACCTCAAGTTCGTCTCCTCGGAAGTCTCCGATGCCGACATCGTTTTGGGCTTCGCGATGGGTCATCACGGCGACAGGTGAGTCCTCGTTTCACGAGCCACGCAGACGACATCGTCGACGCGTCACGAACCGGTCGCATCGAGAAACGAGATCGTCGTAACGCATGTGAAAAACGAGAGGTAAAATGCGATTTGAGGGGTAGGCGATTGACGCAATGCGTGGGAGATTCTATGTTGGCAAGGCAGTCCCTGCCACGTCGTGATTCCAGAAATTTGTTGAAAGTTCATATTGAACTATTGAAATAATAGGACTTGCTCGATGTTCTGGTGGAAAAAGGTATCGGTGAACAATCTTTAATGTATGAAAATAGCTTCGGTGGAAGAGGAAAAAAAGCGCTGTACGAAGTACTCGTAATAGAAGCGCGTGACCAAAAGGCGTCATTGAAAAAGAGCGCGAGCAATGAAGGGGCATGCGGGGACGTGTTTGAGAAGAGTGGATCCAGTTCGGGCAAAATCATGCCTACACTAACAAAGGTCTGACCCACGCCTACATCGACGAAGGTCGATATGTTACAAAGTGATTTTTACCATCTTGGACTGTAAGAAAACATCAGAATTTTTATTCAACGCCCAAGTAGGAGGTATATATGTCATTTTAATCGAATGAAAAATAAAACGTACTCTTTGTTGGTTCCGGGAAAGCCAGTTGACAAAGCGTTGTGGCAATTCCAGAGGGTGTGTTAACATGTTAGCCGTCTGCTGTCTCTCGTGTGAGGTCGTCCGATCCAGGTGTCTTCAAAGTAGTCGAGGAATGGCTGGAGAATAGTCTCGTGCGTGCAGTAGAAGGCATGAGTCTGATTTTCCTCGATCGCAGAGACGACGTCATCCACTGGAACGCACGTTAGAGCTGCCGAATGACGAACATGCAGAGCAAAATTCGTATTCGCGATGTACCGTCGCAGGGTGTCTTGGTGCCGCTGTATTTTCAGCCAAACGCGTTCACTAAAATAGATGTAGCATCCTCGAAAATCGATGCCAGGAAGCTCGCTTCCATAAGCTAAGAATTGCTGCTAGTTCGAAATCAGTCATCACAGCCTCGGGATACTGGTTGCTTTTTAGCTCTTCGGTTGCTGTAAGAATCTTGAAGCAACTGTAGATTTTCCGAACACCAGGATGAAAACAGCAGGATGGACCTTTTCGACTCCACTGCATGAATTTCGTAGAACTGAGTAAATGATGGTGGCGTTGTTTTGAGAGTGCAATCTGCAAACCAGTTTTCGCAGGTCTCCATATGTAGAAGCTTTGGAGCTGTAGAGAACATCAGTCATCAATTGCCACCACTTCCACTGTCGAAAAGCAGGAACGAGTCACCGGAGGCAGTAGCTGTATACTTTGCAGGGATTTGAAGATCTCATGGTAGCCCAAAAGTAACTTCACACTTTTAAAAGTTTATCCAAAAGTTTATTGATGTAAAAATGACATTACTAATATTTGTTGCTGCTAACTTTGGAGTAGCATTATGATGGTTCAGCGGTCCCCTCAAATCTGTCGTATTGCATACAGAATTTTCATTGAAAATGAGTTTAAATTTCCCCCAAAAATGTTCACTTAAAAAGTGTGAGGTTACTTTTGGGCCACCCTGTACCTACGATATCGATCGAGGAGGAGGAAGGCTCGCCTTTTGCTTGGCTCGTTGTAGAATTCGCTTCATCTGGTTCATGCACTGCTAGCAAAAAGGTTCAGGGTATAACTTTTTGAGGGTTAAATTGGAAAAAAAAGGTTAATGTCAGTACAACACTATCTGAATGGGTTATTTAGATGTTTTATTGAACCTCTTCGGAAATTTTTTAAAATTATTTTCGATCTGGAGGGTTTGGTATTCAGCTCTTTGAGTGGGATGTAACCGAACACGCAAATGATTTTCCCAATAGGGTAAATCTTCATAGGAATCGGATGTATACACTGTTACAAAAAATTGTTCAGGTTTAACCTTTTCAGGGTTTAGCAGTAGAAAAGGTATAGATGAGAGTGAAACACCATCCCAAGTAACACAAGATATGCCAGCAACATTTCGGAAATGTTGATAAACAATGTTACTACTATGTGTAATTGTCCAAAACGTCAACGTTGCTCAAATTTTGCGAAAGAACATTGCATTGACGTTGCAAATAGTAACTTATTCATTACATATACGTTGCAGGAACGTTTCAGGACTTATGTTGCTGCAATACGTTGCTTCACCGGCACCTAATGTGGGCCTATATTGGTATTACTACCCGGAAAAGCATAGGCTTCACTAGCCCTGAACTGGATCGATATTCTGCCAATATTGAATTATTTCCCCCTTCATTTCGTATCATATACTTTATCTCTACCCAGACATTCCCATCAAAAGGATGAAGCCTGTATTGGTTTAACTCCTGTCCATGCATAATGAAGTATCTGTATCACGTATAGGCAGGAGCCATAGAACATTTCTGGAGGTAATCTTCTGCTGCATGTGCTAAATATGGCACTTTTCAAGGAAAGATCCCGTCGCGATGTTCTATAGAGTGTCCGTGAATTCAGTCCTTTTCCTCGTCTACTTCTAAGGATAAGGGAATAAAGGCTTGAGATCACCGACTCTTCACCATTGTTTTTAACCTCCCATAGGATGCTTTCGACAAGTTCTTGGATTGGGTTCTTTTCGGGAACTTGAGCTTGTTTTTTATCTGGGCCCCATGAATCTGTATCGAATATGAGGATAACAAGTGATGAAATGTCCGTGTTCACTGATTCCTTTAATGAGACAATGCGAGACATATGGGAAGGTACTAAACATTCCTGTGCGGGACGATTCCAGGGAAAGGGAGAAGGACGCTTTTGTGTACTGTGAGAAAAGCGAGACCTACGCCTCCATCTCATGGCAAGGAGGACAACTTTACAATTCCCTAAAAAGTTCGTGTTGTATCAGAATGTGGTCGCTACGTTATCAATGTCAAGAGCGTCAACATTCTCTCCATGTTGATAGCAAATGTTGCAATAGCATTCGTAGAAGTGTCGCAGCAACACTCCGAGTGAAAACGTTGAAGCAACGTTTTATCAATGTTGTACATCAACTTGCAACACAGAGCAACATAGTCAACATTTCGGGAACGTTTCATCAACATACTGTGTTACTTGGGATTGGGTCACTCCAAGTCAATTCGACTAGAGTGCGAGCTCGACCATCTTGGATTTGGACGAAAATCGGCATACGCGTAGATGAATTGTATTTCAACATATTTTTTATCTCTCACACAGACCTCCATATATATGTATTCGAATGTGACAATTTTTTTGGCTCCTGGAGCCCATACGCACCGGAATTGTGAAACTGTTTCTGCAATCGCTTCTTCTGTAGTTAAGGGAGGCTTATCGGAAAGAAAATAATGGGAACAGTATAACACTTTGGGCACTGGAAATAGATTATTAACCGTTTCAGTTGATCTAAGAAATTGAAAAACTTAAAATTTTTTTATTCCCTTTGTTTTTGCCGGTCCGTCACTATCTTCATAAATGCATATATCACATCAATTTTGCTCGTGTTTTCAGATTCAATTAATTCATTCATTCAGATTCATTAATGCATTACGGAGACAGAGTAGAAAGAATGCAAGTTATAACTATTTTTGGCTTTGAACAAGAGCACAGCATATCATCGCCTTCAATGATCGTATACGAGAAGGGAAAATACAGTGTTTTCATGTCGATTCCAAAAATAAACATTATGCTCATGATTGATCATCATCACCATTTTCTGCGAGCTACGTATTACTGTACTCATCTACTTTCCATCGTTCCACTGCGAGCTTCCACGTGTGTTCCCAGCACTTGGTCCACTCGCTTTCTAAAATTTGCTTATTTCTTAGATTGCTTGAGCAGGACAAGAAATGCCCTCTGGTTAGAATTAAATCGAATTCGCTCTATCACCTTCCCTTCGGTCTGTGTCCGTAGTTCGTGCGTATCGATGGGATTCTCATGTGATCGCCTCCATTTTTCGAGTCCAGTTCCATATGGCGTTTGTATTTGGTTTCGTATATAGGTGATGCAATGCATATCATCGATAGACTAAACTTCTAAGCTGAAAAGCTTGATATTCCCACAATAGGTTCATCTGACGTTGGAGTATTCGTAGCCTATCGCCTTGAATGAATAGGTACTTCCGCGCCTTCTCTCAAACTTCATCATTTCCCTGTTTTAAGATATCCGCCTTTGCATATTTCTATTCGAGCGTTTTAGAGAAAAAAAAGAGTCTTTTCCTTGGCATTTGAAGAGAGTCACGCGAAGAAAATAAAAAATGTATTCACTTGGGAGTGTGAAAAAACAAGAATACATTTTTTAAAAGCAGATTTGAGTACACGCATCATTTTCCCCATCGAGCCGTCGTAACTGGGGGATTTCGGACATGATAGTCAAGGGAAGTACAGTATATGGATTGAAATTTGTGCTCTTTCTGTTGGCGACCTACAGATTTGTTCTGACGAGCGAAATTCCATTGTCTTCGGATTGAATTCCTACCCCCCCTCCCTGGGGGTAGCGGGAAGTGGGTGCTAGTGAGATATTAAAGGCAATCATACTGCTCTAGAACAAACTCCTCAAGGTGTCGCTGGATCTCTTGTTTGAGTCAGTTATTATTTCCAGATTAATATTTTTTTTTACATTTATAACTCCACACATACACGTATATCGGGTGCGATCGAGAAAAATAGTATGACTCACCAAGTCGGTTCAAGTCCCTTATGGAAGTAAGTCAACGCAAAGGTAGCAGTATTGTTAAAAAGGGGAGAATAAATAAATAGGAACCTATAATAGATTATAGGTTTCTTTCGCATTTCGGAATACATATTCCTTTTCCAAGACGCGATGAAGGGTTCGCGCAGAGAAAGCACGAAGTGAAATCGTCTCCATTCACACGTTAGAATTAAGATTTGTAGAGATGACAGCATAATGGCATCTCATGGGATATTTTTACTTTCTCATGGCGAATGGAACATGGGGGTCGTCACATAGAGACAAGTTCTGGAATTAGTGTTCAGTGATCGTGCAGGTATCCTTTCGATGGAGTGGGTGGAGTATTGGCTCACGCATATTACCCTTACGAAGAAGGATCCTATGGAGGAGATGTCCATTTTGATGCAATAGAAAACTGGACGGACTCGGACAAGGATGGTGAGTTGGTTGCTTCAATATTTTGCTTCATCTTCAGTGAGCATCTCCACCTTGCCAAATGTTCATTTAGCAATATTGCACATTTCAGACTGTTCATTGAAGTTTAGGCACTTAGTCTAAAATTCCTTGTCATTATGCCATCTTTTAGAAGCTAACTGTAAATTTCAGAGGAGGATATCGGTCGCTGGGTGCAAGTAATCAAAGTCCCTTTTGGTTTTTTTGTAGATAAGGCCATCCAATTCCCAAGTCGAGAGTTGTCACCGATTGCATGATATGCAACGTACGAAATTAGAAAATCGTGAGTTGATTGGCAGCCAGTCACAATTCATGAAGTTATTCACCCAATATAGCAAGAAATTAAGCCTATATGGATTCGGATCTTATGTTGAGTCAGGATTTCTTTGCACCTGGTCTGCTTAAAGGAATATCAAAGGTGGGTTTCAGGAAAAGGGATTTGAAAAAAAACTGCGAAATGGAGAGCGCTTACGAATCGCTTAAAAGAAATATTATCTCTTGCTCGGAATGATTATATAAGTGCTCTCATGATGGCTGTTAAGCCTGCAATTTTGCAAGCATGTCGGGCTAGGCCAAGGGGCAGAAATGGAAAAAATCCAAAGACTTTTTGAACGCCCTTCGTAATTGTACTATATTGCTCTTGATATTGGTTTAATATTAAAACAGCCTGAATGAATGGAAAAGTTGGTACATTTACTTGGTCACTCTGTATATAACCAAAACGTTGCACGTATTGATAGAATACTTTTTTTCAGTGTGGGATCATTGAAGCTCAACTTTGTGTACCGATTTTCTCTTCTGGTCTCCCTGGCCATCCATGCGATTTTTCCCTATCCATTGATGGACAAAGGGAAGCTTATTAAATGGGGTTCCGATGAATTTCATCAACCTTGGAATCATATTCACTTTGCTCTTTCCGCAAGTGTTTTCATATTATGCTCCCTTCAGATGGAGTGGACTTCTACACTGTGGCAGTCCATGAAATCGGCCACAGTCTGGGACTTCCTCATTTTCCCGATCGGTCGTCTGTAATGTATCCCTACTACCTAGAAAAGAAGACTCCAGGCTTTCTCGGATATGCCGATATCATGGCCATGTACGATATCTATGGTACGTTTTCTATCGTATTTTTCCCTTTCGTTTGAAAGGATAGATAAGCAAACGACCAATCATTGCTGAATAATTTCCGGAGCAAGGAACATCCTAATTCACATTCAGTACCTTTTATTGCGAATTCGAGAGAAATTCATCCTCTGTCTGAAAGTTGTACAGTATGTTGGGACAGGACTATTGCACACCAAGTGATTGGTGGGGGGAGGAGCGCAGATGGTCTGAATCAACCCCCCCCCATTGCCCCCAAACCCCAAGTCATGACTGCATCGCTCAACTTGCCCGATCCACCGGGAGTGCGGGGACGCAGAGAGATATAAGGAAACGGCCATGGAGCAAGTCTAGAAAGTGGGAAAGTTGTTGAGTTCAACGGGGTAAAAATTGAAGGCCACCCCCAGCACATGCGGCTACTCCCTCGAGTTAAGAGAAGAAGTCACGGGAGTGATCACGCGCAGGAAAACGAATTTCCTGTTGCATGTCTGCACAATGAAAATGGAGATGAAACTCGATATTATTCTCGATATTACTCGATGGATTTCGCTTTTATTTTGCTTTTATTATTTTCAGACATGGAATCGCTTATTAAGTTACTGTTTATATTCCATTTTCTCTTTTCATAAATTTTTCCTTAATTTAATGTTAAAATTTGAAATGCAGTGACCGTTTTCTCTTACTGTAGGTACAACCTGGGTCAGTTATCCCAAGTCATTAAAATGTATTATGCACGGGAAAAAGATACTGGTTATGCCTATTTTGATAGGGTGCGCTTTTGCAGATATCAGTATATTTCGTTCATCGGTGGAGGGAAGTCCTCTATTTCCACAGGATTCAATATGCCTCAATCGATGTTAATGCGCATTGCCCAACGTTGAACTTCACACCCGGAGGCTCTCTCCAGAATGTGGGTAGGAATAGCTGCCATTTCACCTCAAATCAAGTCCTCCAAATTCAATTCAGATAGAAACTATTCTTCGTTGCTACAATTTAAATGGCCAAGCCATATCTCGTGAGCAGGTCAATTTCAGATTCAGTTAAAAATTATACTTTCACAATCTTAATATAACTCAATGGTAAAGGGAAGCGCGAATAATCAGTTTTTTTTCCTGGAACCATCTCAGAAATTTCCATAAAATTATTTAGAAATGAGGTCTCTTGAAAATGCATTCAATGAAAATTCCTTTTCGCGATGATTTTTTTTTGTAAATAAGCCTTTTCACATTCCTAGACATTAAAAAAAAGGCCGTGAGAACATTCCCAAACCCTCTCCGAACCTTAGGGCTGCTTGCGCCACTGGGACAGGTGCTTTCATCCTTCTTCCCTCTTAGCTCACCATTGCAATACGACCGAGACCGTGGGTATGGGTATATGGAGGGTTCATCCTCTTAATTTTTATTCAGCGGTTACTCGAGCATCAAGATTGTCAAATTCATTTACTTGGAATTCTTTTTGGAACAACTAATTGCAAAACATGACTTTTTATTAGGTGTTCAAACTGTTAACGCTTAGACCAAAAGGCGAGTTCATCGCGTATCATAGGCATCGCATACATTTCAGACTGTGTCTAGTTTTACACATTCTGTTATAATAAATCTGCAGTGAGGAATCCCCCGGTTCAAGAAGAGACAATTACGACTGAGAGTGCAAGTGAAACAGAGGTCATGCCCACAGAAGACTGTGAATCATGTGACGGAGAAGGTGTGATGACGACAACGCCAACGACTTACACGGAATCAGACTTTCCTGTGGAAGGTGTCGATGATGTCTTCACTACTGCCACCATCGCTGATACGCCCGATGCCACCGCAGACTTCACTGCTGTCACAACTGCTAGTATACCGAGAGAAGAGGAGACAAGGGGGGGCTACGAGGGAACGTTCGTGGGGGATTTCGAAACGGTGGATGAACATTTGGGGCACGAGGAAGGATTTCAGGAGAAGGTGTGCACCGAAACATGGAGCAATATCTCCATCCTTCGAGGAGAAATATTCATTTTTATTGGGAGCGTGAGTTACTTCCATTTCCTCTGAGAAACTAGTAGTGGATATGAGACCATAACTATAAGAGGTACTAATAGTAATTTCTGCTTTGTTCTTGAGGAACAATGATGTGGAGCATGATGGATAAAATACTATTATTTTATTAATCATGAGAGGATGTAAGGAAAAGATCAGGAGAGGATGTAAGGAAAACTGCGAAATTGAGACTGTCTGGAGGAAGGAAATCTGAGGATTCTAGGAAGAGGTGCTTACAACCTAAAGAATGCCAGCATTTCAGATCGTCTTAAACTCTCCAATCTTACATGTCTCTTATTTACATGAAGCTCTATTCAGCGCGAGTTCTCTCCACATAGAAGTGAAAAGGAGAAATCCCAATCCAATGATGGGTCAGATCGGAGGCCTCACCTGTTATTTCTAGGCAGTTATTAATGAATTCGTGAGGGAAAAGATAAGGATGCTTTTGATTCTAGTAAACGATTGGCAATATGAAATGAAGATGGAGGTGGAAGGAAATTGTACTCAGAATGTTAATAATGAGGGTCTGTTGACTTACGTCAAGGGCGAATGGTTAGGCATGACATGAGTGGGGGGAGTCAGCACACGCAAAGGCTTCCTCGTAGCGGCTCCTTCATGTATAAAAAAAAGCTCCAGATGAGACCACTCACCTCATGAGGAGGCGAGCGGCGCCAGGCGCCTCTGCAAAGTATTGTTTATTTGCAAGGTAATTTTAAAACAAAGTGGAGGGTACTCGTCTCAGTTATTCCTACTGCATAGTGGAAGTCTTGCTGCAACTCTGAAACGCTCCCTTACGAAAAAATCCTTTAGGATCTTATACGATTTTTGAAACATAAAAATCGCATGGGATTCTTATAAGATTATTAAATGATTCTCTTGGAAATCTTATAGGACGCTAGAAGAACCCTATAGAATTTTCTTGGGCTCCCATAACTCACCTGGTGTCTCATTGTCTAACGCTTCTTACCTCGCTACATTTTTTATGATCAGGAGGATGTGTCTCTGACAGCCATCTGATCTGGAGAGATTCGGATCCGTTACCCATTACTTTTCATGTCCACTGATTCTGATATTGCTTACACACGAATCGTGAAAATACGGAAATAATCATGTTTTCATTTTGGTATTGGTGTTCTGCATTGAACTGTAACATTATCAAGCCAACAAGACTTTACTACAAAGTGCGAATAACTGGTCGAAACATCGAGATTGGGCAAGCATTAATGATGTGGACGACTTCCTACTTCTTCACGTGCTCCTGGAATGACTATAATCAATATTTCAATATTTTAAAAGTATTTTCCATAATTAATAACTTCATGCGGATTTCGCATCTGCAGCCACCAGCCAGTTCACTTCCGTCCTTAGGAGATCTAAGGCAAATAAAATGACCTACTAAACATTTTTTTAAAACCACTTTATTGTATTTTAGACCCACAACAGGAGGAAAACCTCATTAATTCGAAATTCAGGAGACCAAAAAATTCCAATATCCAAATAAACTGGTTATAATTATCCGATTTTGTTGTACTTTCTCTTATTCATCTTGGCACATTCATATCTGCTTTGCTCTCGCAACACTGAGGGTAAATAGCAGACTGTGGAGCGACCATGCGAGGTTTATTAAGGTCATGTGACATGTAGGTGGTTCATATGTAGAGCATTATAGTGGAAGGGGTTGTTAGTTTGTTTAGAATTCTTCTGAATGACAAAGGGAAGATTCCATAAAGACAATTAACTGGCCTTGCAGACAATTGGAATGCCACGACAGGAGGTCGTCTGTTGATGGAAGATAATGCCCTTAGAAGTAAACGAACATGTTTCTGAGTTTATAGCTCACGGGACTTCGAATAAGTTTTCGTATTTCGAATTATCTATATTTTCTAATAAGGATAATTCAAAGCATGCAATAGAAAGCATAGAAATCGCTATCCTCTCAGACGCGGAACACCGATGACTTCGAACTATCCGATATCGAATTAACCTGTTGACTTTATTCCAAGCTCATATGCACCTTCAGGGGGAGTTTTTTTTCCACAAGACTATTTTAGCTCCTAAAGCACATATTTTTAACACCTGAAAAAGAAATATTTTGTTACTTACAAAAGTGAGTAGACCCTTTGACTGTGATATTAAAAAAAGCAGGGGTGTACACATAGGGCTGTGTGATATTCGACACACATAAACCGTGTCATCTTCCTCTGCTGCTTCCTCTTCTTTGTGTTCTTGCACACATGACACTGCCTATGGGTCCTGTATTCCTGTGCCTCTGTTCGAGGGACTGGCTTATGAAAGTGACGGGCTGTGAGGCGAAGAGGGTCGTCTCCTGATGATGGTCTTCCACCATTTTGGCTTTTTCTAGGTTCAGCAAAATCTTGCAATAGTTGCCTCAAAATTGCCGCCCTGAAGTCTAAAACTGAGGCCCTTTCCCAGTTTTCACTTTGTACAAGATATATGCATTGAGTACACACAGATCCAACTAATTTAAAAATGCCTTCTTGTACCACTTGATGGATTTCCTTATGAATTCAAGGGTACTAAGGCGCATGTCGGATTCATCTACAGCCCCCATTTTTTCGTTTTACTCCAAGACACAGCTTGGTTTCTTTATGGCTTCTTTAGTTTATGGGTCTGTCTTCCTGGAATTCTTAATTTCATCTTTGAGGATAGAGCTCTTCTCATGATGCGAAACTCTCGTCAATTAACCGTCCTATTCCAGAGAGCAAAAATATTGAAAGTATCAATATTTTTTTTTTAGTGTGCCGCATTCTTGATATCATCGCAGTTCTTGTGGAGATATTCCGCGAGAGGGGAGATTCAAGATGGTTACCCTGTGAGCGTCTCACAACTGTTTTCTGGCTTTCCCAAGAATCAGGCTGTAGATGCCGCATTGGAGACTCCTCAAGGGGAAATCATTCTTCTTTCTGGTCTGATCACGTCAGTTCTATGCAACACTTGCTCGTTGCTCTGCTTTCTTAAACGCCAACTCCAGTTTCACTCCCTTTTTACTCTGGTGAGAGTGAAAATAGAGGAAAACTACTCGGATGATTACTTTCAGAATGAGAAAGGGAGGAAAATGAGCAAAAACAGAGTGAAACTAGAGTTAGCACTCGCTTTTTTCTGAAGGTGTACCCGAATTTTTTGCAATAAAAAATTAGGAAGAGATAGGAGACACCTGCCCACCCTAAACCCTCCTCCTCCCACTAAGAAGCGTTATCCCCACACGGTTCCAGGGATTTCTGTCTCAATATATGAATACAATGTATTCTAGAGCTCAAGACTCTAGATTCATGCTTTCTGCTGTAAAAGGGGCTACAAAAGGTGCCATTTTTCCATAATCCAGAGCGCTTCTTATGCCATAACTCATCATAAGACCTTCCAATTCCTTTAGATACGATGTCAGATTCGATACTTCCTTGTTCTCCGTGCTTTCGTTCAGGTTCCAAGTTCTGGTCGGAAAAGGACGGCCATTTTCATGGGCCTCATAATCTTTCTACACTGGGCCTGCCATTGGAAGTGACGAAAGTCGATGCTGCTTTTACTTGGATCAAAAATGGGAAGACGTATGTCTTCAGGTGAGGAGTAACTGTTTTTACTGTCATTGGCGGATCACCCAAGGAAGCGAAGCGAAGCACCCAGGAAAAGCTAGTACAGCCACAGGCTATTGCAAACTTGCGCTGGGAACTGGCAATGTGGGAATTTGGGGTCGTTCTCTTCTTTATCATGCTATGGAAAAATTCTGATACCGTCTATGGCTAATCAAGCCTGAAAATGCTGCAATTCGGTGTATGGCTGTATTACCAGCACTGGTTCTACCAGCACTGGTTCTACCAGCACTGGTTCTACCAGCACTGGTTCTACCAGCACTGGTTCTTCCATTGCTGGTAATGGAAACAATAAGAAAAAACGTCATGATGATGTTCCTCCCCAAGCTGACGTGTGTCCAGCAGTTGCCTAAAGTTCCTTGCTCTGTGGATCGAAAGAGGGAGCTCCGTGGGACGGTACGATCCATCCATCACACAATCCATTCCCCCCTCCTACTTTTATATGCCATTCCCATAGGTACTATGGGCAAATGGCAGATATTGCGATTTGTCTGTCACTTTTTTTCATTCCCTCTGCCTGCAGTATCCATAGCAATTGGACAACGCGACTCACTGCGCATGTGCAACTCTCTGCCTGGGTTGGAGTGCCAGTCTACGACTGAAACATCCATCCAGCCTTCCACCCCTTGCGGATGAACGGGTCAATAGTAAGACAAAAGGAGAGAACGGCTGCTCGCGGTCGAGTAGACAGGGTTGCTGGGCGTACGCACGAAATGTCGCATCTAGCATCCTGCACTTCATGCTGTCCTCCCATCTCCACGCGACGCGGACGCGCGAACCTTCGAGAACATGTCTAGTTGTCCGGGCTTTTTCATAGATGCCTATGATGTACCAATGACAGATATTATTTAATCCACGGTTGGATGGCTAGGATGGGACGAATAAGATCATTCCAGTGGTATAGAGGCCTGTGGAATGGCAGATCTGTACCTGGGCTGGCACTCTCTAGTCTATCTTGTCATAGTTTGAAGATCTAAATGTCCTAGCTGTTGACAGCTAAGACAATATGACGAATTCTGAAAAAAAGAAAGAGATAAAGGTCAGAATTCGTTGTATTGTCTTAGCTGTTGGCACCTCACATCTTGGAAACTCCTTTCTGAACGAATGTTGTGCCACTATTACTTAATGAGTTGTGATATGCGCCTCAATGATGAAGATTCTCTGTCGTAAATTTAAGTCAGGCATTTTGAACCTGCAACAGAAAAAAGAAATTATTTGGTGAAAAATGTTGAATTTTGCCTACTTAAGGCATTTTATTATTTAATCCTATATTTTATGGTTATCCTGTGATTTAATTTTGAAATTGGGTTCATTTTTTGGCCCACCCTGTACAAGAAATAGAAAACTCCTTTCATAAATCACATATTGTGGAAACGTTATAACCATACCTGTTATAGGACTTCTGCATTTGACTATGTTAAGGGTCCAGAGAATATAACTTCAGAATCAACCATATACAGAAAGAATAAACATTTGCTGCGTAAATGCAACGTATCTAGGAACATAAACTTGATCAATGAGCCCCGAGAGCCTAAGACTGAACCAGAATGCATCAATAGTGATGCCATAAACTGCTGCAATCCTTACCCATAAGATCAAGGGGTGAATGAATTGTTTTGACGAAAGACCTTATATCTCACATTTGATTTCCAAAATGTCCAGATTGGATAAGTAATTTACTAAGCGTTGATGTCAGCATCGACACAATTCACTATTACGTAATCCTACACTCGATGACGAACGTGCAAAAAGAAAAAAGCTTGATGAATGAGGAAAATGAGCTAAATATAAGCCCCATTTCAAAAGCAAGTCCCTTGGGGACTTATAAACAACTGCATTGGCGATTTCTCTGTTTGTTAATGAGTCTTCCTTCCCTCAGCCAGATGAAATACTGGAGGTACAGTGAAGCCATGGAAGTTCCAGATGAAGGCTACCCAAGAGATGCTTCAAGTTGGAGAGGTGTACCTTTTCCCATAAATGGCGTCATTTCTATCCCCACAGGTGAGACTTAAGAGTAGGACAGAGCTCACCCTTTCTCCAGCAATCGGGTCTCTTGAAATTTTCAAAGCTTTCGACTGCGTGGCAGAGGGCCTCCGCACAAACGTCACGGCTACGGAAAAATCATGCCCTTGGGGAATTCGTTGATAGTTGTGTCTCGACTGCAAGCCATTAGGCCGAGTCGCGAAAGGCTGGACCTCGGTTTCCTCAGCATTCCATTCTGCGTTCTCCTAGGCAGCGTCCTTGGCTCGACGCTCTTCCATTACATCATTGAGATTTCCACACTGAAGAAGGTCTGCCTCTTTGGAAATGATATCACCCTTCATGATATCCGTCTTCTGCTTGTCCCCAAAAAGCTAGTGATTGCCTCTCCCTAAAGCAAGCCGGAATCAATATCCTGACGGAAAGCAATTTTCACTCCTAAGTGCTGTACGGTACAGTACAATACAATCAATATTGTACTCTCCAGCAAGAAACAGCCTTACCTGATACGACACAAAAGAGTACTAGGTCTATCCCATTCACATCCCCCATCCTTTCAAATCCTCGAAGCTTCTTGCGATTGCTCTCAATAATTAACTTATTTCAGATGTTCATTCTAAGAACATCTCGAGTGTCGATCACAGGAACATTAGTGCCTGAAGATATCCTTATAGTGGGTTTCAGGAGAAAATTAGAGAAGTGCGCCAATGAGGCTAATAAAAACTATGGATGCAGACAAGAGCTGCAGTGTCGTCGTTAAAGACACCCTCCGAATTTTCAACGGTGTTCAACAGTCCGAAGCATCGTAATGTCTCTCCTTCCTTTTTACCTTGAGTAAATGTCGGAAACGGACTGGAGGTGCATCTTGAGGGAATATACCCTTTTTCTTCAGATGGTAAAATTCTCGAAAATGACGGTTCCAGAGTTTTAATTAAATTGCAAGCATTATTTTTCCATGGGGAGAGTGTGACAGTACTGAAATGCTTTATTTTTCGCACTTTGCAGATGGAACACATTTTTTCCATGGCCGAGAATCGTGGCGATTTGATGACACCATCATTCATGCAGCCCCAGGAAATCCCGAAATTGCTGCTATTTTCTGGGCTGGTTGCGCCTCTACGTGATAGCTTTCGTGCATCGATATTAACATGTCACGAAATGAATGACGGCATGCATTTTCACATCTCATTTCCCGTCTCCTTTTCTCATGATCTTCACCTGTCTTTAGAGACTTGTGTTTTCTAATTATATGGAAAAATTGCTCTCAACAAAGGTGAATGGTCCATTTCAGAATAATGCAGAACCTGAAGAAACAGAAGAAATTGATGAGAAGGGAAAGCCATTGAAAGTGGTTTTCATGCTACATCCTTCATTAGTTTAGACGAAGCGTGCATGCTTGCTTTGCACGGACGCTACTTATTCCCGTAATTATTAATACAAATTCCAACTTGGTATCCTAAGGAACATGAACATACGAAGCTATCTATCGTGCCCCTTCCAGATAATACGATGTACAACAATTTCTCAGTACTCTTGGCATTCATTGCTAGTGAAAATAAAGAGATGGAATCCCACGAGAATGCCAGACAGATTTGTCACAATAGCATCTACCAGGTCCCTGATAGAAAATTTTGAAGGGCTCTGGATTAAGGTAATTAGGCAAACGACACGTGTGCATTCCTGGTCGATTTGGAACTTGCAGAGAAGGGTGAAACAAAAAAAATGGCTTTCCAGCATCGAAAGACACTATTAATGTGCCGTCTGCGAATAGGTAGCATTTCCCAAGTAACACAAGATATTCCAGCAACGTTTAGGAAATGTTGATGTTGCATCTGTGTGTAAATGTCCAAAACGTCAACGTTCCTCAAATGTTGGGAAGGAACATTGCATTTACGTTGCAAATCGATACTTATTCATTACATTTACGTTGCAGATACGTTTCAGGATTTATGTTGCTGCAATGTTGATTAAAAACGTTGCTTCACGGGCACCTAATCTGGGCCTATATTGGCATTACGGAAAAGCGTAGGCTTCACTGGTCCTGAACTGGACCGATATTCCACCAATATTGAATTATTTATTTCATCCTTTCGTACCTCTCTACTCAGACATTCCCATCAACAAGACGAAGCCTGTACTGGTTTTACCCTCTACCCATGCACAATACAGTGTTTGTATCATGTACAGACAGGAGAGAGTACATTTTTGGAGGTGGTCTTCCCNAGCGAGACTTACGTCTCCATCTCGTGGCAAGGAGGACAACTTTACAATTCTCTAAAACTTCTAAGTCCATGTTGTATCAGAATGTTGTCGCTACGTTGTCGATGTCAAGAGTGTCAACATTCTCTCAATGTTGATAGCTAATGTTGCAATGACATTCGTAGAAGTGTCGCAGCAACATTCCAAGTGAAAACATTGAAGCAATTTTTTCTCAATGTTGTACAGCAACTTGCAACATAGAGCAACATAGTCAACATTTCGGAAACGTTTCATCAACATGCTGTGTTACTTGGGTTCATGGCATTCATAGGCATTCATAGGTAGCATTTCACGGTTAAGTCAATGTTCGCTGATCGCCCTTCAAAACAGCATGTCCATGTGAGGTTTCCGCTTTCGTGTCCGAAACCCCTTTTCAGCATATTAGGCAGCAACAAAGTTACCTATGCTTTACTCGCAATTTTCTTATCTTGCAATCGTGAATCCGTGAGATTTTAGTGCGCTTTTTTCTTTCATGGAAAGGTGTAAAGTACCATTTTTCTCAGCCGATTCTTCAATGAAAAACAAAGTCATGTAATAACTGTGATGAACCAGTGATATTAATGGTGGATTTTTAAACAGAGCACTATCCGATAATGCAGCTTTATTTCAGAGAAAATGCATGATATATCCGGTAAATAAAGCTGCATTATCGGGTAGTGCTCTGTTCAAAAATCCACCCTAAGTTGTGATTATTCTCTCTCCGATTGGAATTAGTCACATGTAGGTTGAACTAGTGTACGGATGGATAATAACTGCTGTTTGCGACTGCGTTACCTTGAGTCACTTCCTAAGACCTAAGGCTCGCCTAGGTGCTGGGCATTACACAATCAGAATCATGCCCTACGTCTAGGGTATGATTCAAGGAGGAACTAAGGGATCGATTAAAATTCTATTAATCGACCGAGTAATCGATTAAATGTCTCACGATAAGATTAGATTTTTTAATCGATCAACAGCCCTACTTTTTAACATCTGCCGATATCACCTTCTTTTCTTCTCTCTCTTCGACTTATTTTTGTAGCCAATGCTGACTTTACTTAACAAAATATCAGCGATTCTACTTTCTACTCTGGCCACATTTACAGAGCTTCACTTTTTTCGGTATTGAAATCCTCCTGATCCTATCGATCATCAGGAATATCGGATCTATAGTGCTTTGAATTCGCGATGACTCGAAACGTGATCGTCCGCTTGACGACCGTATGCATGTAATTAGCGGAGAGATGCAGTATCCGAGAACGAGAAAAACCTGCCCTGAGCGTGCCAAAGAACGTATCTTCTATTGTGCGGAAGTTCATCACAGAAAGGCGTTCCAGGTGTCTCAAACGCTCATTTTTTTTCCCTTTTCCTACTATTTATCTGCATCCGATTCCTCCTAGCATTCGCGATTTCGAAAGACCAAGAGAATCATTTTTTTATTCTTATTCTGACTTCGGGATCCATTTTTAATTCCACGCACAGCCGTAAATCCATCTGGGCTCTCGCACCGTCTTCCTCCTTCGTGGAGAAATCTATTTATGTGTCATAAGCGAATTTCCTGAATTTTTAAAAGAATCTTGTCATCAGTGGACGCCAGAGCAGAATGTGTGGCGTGATGCGGAGACATGGGATAACGACCCTGGTTCGGACTATGTCCCAGTTATGCCCGGAAAAAAAAGGGGGTTTCACGTAAATCGAAGTGAACAACTCCATCTTTTCCCTACTGTCAGCCGATTTACGTTCGAGCGATACTGGGTTCGCCGACTCACATGAACATGAAAGGAGCGTGTGCGAAGCCGCTCACAGAGCTCCCAGGTTGAACGTCCAAGACGAGAGGGTCAGGGAGATGACGTCATAGCATGAATGCCTCGGGAGTCCTAAAGCCCGCCACGTGCTCGCGGGATGATTCTATCCTGATCTGACGAATCTGGGAACCAGCTGGCCTGACCCTTGCTTGGGATTTACATAAACTAGCCTATCATCAAGTTCACATTGGTGGTGCTGCATAAGGCTCCATGCCTGGAGACGTTCTGCTTATTGCAGGAACACGGGACGAACTTCAAATTTGTACGTTTAGCAATGGACAATATTGAATTTGCGATGAAATATTTGGACCTAGTTCTCAGCTTCATGAGTACGTTTAGGCGTTGGCCTTAACTTCATTTATGAGACTAGGTACATTCCAAACCTTGGTCAGTGTTATTACTGTGTTGGGCTTAAGAGTGTAGCAGGTGATATAATGACCTTGGCCTAAACTAACTGCAATACGTTCAGATTTATCATCCTTTGGCATTCATTGCAGGTTCAGTGGTTTTTAAGCAGTTGTCTCAGCTGAAATGTTGGGGAAAAAAGTGTTTCATATGCCTTTTTTTTACCATGTGGCTATGGGATTTTGTTGCATCATTGTGGCAGTGATCTTTTTGCACTGGAGGAAATGAAATGAAGGGGAGAGGAAGCTGACATGGATGGTACACATTACCTTACTGTGCACAATTCTAATCATTTCTATCTATTCTTCTGCCAGTGTCTTCATTGCACATGTTGGGGATGGGGACACAAGTTCAACAAGGTTCTCATCTTTCATCTGCAAGTTTGTTTCAGAATTTCAAAATTGTAAGCCTAGGTTAATTTCCAATAGCAGCATAATCCCAGAGTGACCTCATGATTCTAGTAGCTACTTTATTTGACTTTCACATTGAAGCAATTCTTTGATGCCAAAGGTCTCTTGACTAGTAGTGGCGTTGGCGACAGTGCTCTTGTATTGGTCTAGGATAAGAACTTATCTTAAAACATTCATAGTATGTAGTATGTAAGTGTACAAAGGTGTCACCTATTCTAATATTGGAATATGCAAATAACTTTTTTTTTTTGGGGAGGGGGGGGGTCTTGTACAATGTTGCCATCAGAAAGAATGGAGTGAAGGTCATGGAGAAACAGTCCTTGCCAAATTGTATCAGATAGAAACTTCAGGTGGTATGGAGAACTTGAATGGCATGTTCCATGTGTGGCATCTTCAGTGTAAAGAAATGCAATGAATTCATAGAGTTCATGGCAAAAGTTGCAAATAGGGCTCCTAGTATTTCCCTGACGAACAGGATTCCCCCTAGGCATCACCAATTTTACAATGGTGCAAGTGGATTCCCCAAAGATCATCAGG